AATTTAACAACCATCTACACAAAAAGCACCTTCATAAGAAGCAAAGATTTGGTGAATAATTACAGTACCTGGCTTTAATTTTATATTGCTGAAAGAGGCATTGAAGAGGGTAGGAAAAACAGTCTTGAATCACTGACACTACCCCTCCCACATCCCCAGCATCAGCCCCGTGGTAGGGAGAGAGTCTGTGCACTTGAGGGAGGGACAGCACAGTCATTATGGGACTTTGTATTGAACTCAGTGCTGTCTTGTCACTGCAGAAAACAAATCAGATCTGAACTCAACTGATGCCCACCCATAGAGGAAGCATTTAGACTACCCCTTCCCAAAGGGAATTGCCCACCCCAGTAGTCAGAACTTGAGCTTGAGCGGGCCTTGCCACCATGGGCTAAAGTGCTCTGGGATGCCAAATAAATGAAAGGCAGTCTAGGCCACAAGGATTACAACTCCTAGGCAAGTAGTAGTGCTGTGCTAAGCTGGAAGCCAGTGGACTTGGGCAGCATGTAACCTGGTGAGACACCAGTCCGGGTGGCTAAGAGAATGATGGTGCCACCCCTCCCCCAACTTCAAGCAGCACAGCTTGCAGCAATGAAAGTGACTCCTTTCTTCTGCTTAAAAAGAGGAGAGAGGAGTAAAGTAGACTTTGTCTTGTATCTTGGATACCAGCTCAGCCACAGTAGGATAGGGCACTGGGAAGAGTCATGAGGCCCCCATTCCAGGCCCCAGCTCCAGGATAATGTGTCTAGACACACCTTGCACAAAAACGGAGCCAGTTGCCTTGAGGGTAAGGACCCAGTCCTGACCAAAGAGCTCCCAACCACTAGCAAGACACCATGCACCTTGGGTGAGACTCAGATTTGCTGGCTTCAAGTGAGACCCAGCACATTCTCAGATAGTGGCTAAGGGGAAAGACTCCTGCTTGAGAATAGCAGAAAGAAAACTAAAGGGAGCTTTGTCTTGCATGTTAGGTACCAGCTCAATGACAGTAAAGCAGAGCACCAGGAAGGCTCTTGGAGTCCCCACTTCTAGGCCTTGACACTAGGGTGGCATTTCTGAATCTACCCTGGCCCAGAGGGGAGCCCACTATGCTGAGACCCAGGCCTGGCAGTATTCACCATAAGTTGACAGAAGAGCCCTTGGATCTTAAATGCACATCATTAGTAGCCTGGCAGTAGTCTGCAAGGATTTATGATGGTGGTGGCCATAGGGAGAGGCTCCTCTGCCTGTGGAAAGAGGAAGGAAGAGTGGAAAGGACTTTGTGTCAGTGAGTGCCACATTAGCTGCTACAGAAAAAGTACCAGGTAGATTTAGAAGGTTTTTAACTTGCATTCCTGCTGCTCAGACAGGATCTCTGGACTCACCCAGGGTCTGGGGGAACTTGCCACTCTGAAGGGAAGGACACAAGCCTGGTTGGCCTCACTGCCTGCTGCTTGTAGAGCCTTAGAAATCTTAAGTGAATGTAGGCAGTAGCCAGGTAGTAGTTACAGTGAGCCTGGGGCTAAATCCGGTGCTGTACTGGTTTCAAGTCTGACTCAGCGCAGTCCCAGTAGTGCTAAACACAAAGGTCCTTGTGTCATCCCACTTCTAGCTGTAGGAAGCTCAGTACAGAGAAAGATTCCACTTGTTTGGGAGAAAGTAAGGGAAGAGACCAAGAGTCTCTGAGTGGTAATCCAGGGAACTTTTCACCATCTTATTGAAAACCACCAAGGCAGTTTCTCTACAAGCCTGCAAGAACTACAGCATTACAAAGCTTGGGGTGCTCCCTAATGCTGACACAGTTAGATCACAACACCCAATCCCTTCAAATACTTGAAAAACCTCCCCAAGGACAGGTACAAACAAGCCCAGACTGAAAAAGACTACAGTAAATATCTAACTCTGCAGAGCCCAGACACTGAAAAATATCTACAAACTTCAAGTCTATTTTGTCAGCATGTAGTCCGCAACTGTCCCTGTTTTAAAACTGCCCCTACTTTTGTTAATAACGGCCTCTTCCTGCTTCTGTACATCAGTTTATTGCTTACTAACTGGAAAACCCTTGAGAGAAACTGCCACGTTGTCTAAAACCTGCTGTGTTGTCTAAAGCCCTGAGCTACTTCCCCGTCCCTTACCTATAAAAACTGTAAACTGTTCTAAGCCAGGGTCCAGACTTTTGGGTGCAAACCCTTCTGGGCCCACCAGCATAATAAAGTGTGTTCCTCCCATCTCCTGAGTGACACTTTGGTTTCTTGTAGGGTAAGATTTTTCCAGAGCATTAGAAGTGACCGCTTATGGTAATCTCCATTTAAACATTTCTTCCCATTGTTACAAATATACTTCCATATTAATTGTGTGAATATATTTGTTGCTCTCATGGAGCAAACAGAATGCCACTTAAATGAAAACAGCAGAATTTAAAAGTGACTGGATGTGATGAGGAACTACATGAATCACACATCAATATTTGACAAGAATCTGGTAAACATTTGAAGAAGAGCAAAGCAAACAGGGTAATGACAGGTTATGTGTATCAAAAGAATGATTTGAATAGCATAGATTAAGAGATGTCCTTGGAATTTCAAACAATCCAAAAAGAGGGAAGCCTTCCCAAATAATTTTACGAGACCAACATCATTCTGATACCAAAACCCGGCAGAGGCCCAACAAGAAAAGAAAACTTCAGGCCAATATCCATGATGAACATAGATGCAAAAATCTTCAATAAAATATTGGCAAGCCGATTGCAACAGCAAATCAAAAAACTTATTCATTATGATCAAGTAGGATTCATCCTGGGGATGCAAGGCTGGTTCAACATACGCAAGTCTATCAACGTAATTCACCACATAAACAGAACCAAAAACAAAAACCACATGATTATCTCAATTGACGCAGAGAAGGCATTTGACAAAATTCAACAGCCCTTTATGCTAAAAACCCTCAATAAACTCGGTATCGATGGGACGTATCTCAAAGTAATAAAAGCTATTTATGACAAACCAACAGCCAATATCATACTGAATGGACAAAAACCGGAAGCATTCCCTTTGAAATCTGGCACTAGACAAGGATGCCCTCTTTCACCACTCCTATTCAATATAGTACTGGAAGTTCTAGCCAGAGCAATCAGGCAAGAAAAAGAAATAAAGGGTATTCAAATAGGAAAGGTGGAAGCCAAATTGTCTCTATTTGCAGACGACATGATAGTATACCTAGAACACCCCATCGCCTCAGCCCAAAAACTCCTGAAACTGATAAGCAGCTTCAGCAAAGTCTCAGGATATAAAATCAATGTGCAAAAATCACAAGCATTCGTCTACACCAATAACAGACTTAAAGAAAGCCAAATCAAGAACGAACTGCCATTCACAATTGCTACAAAAAGAATAAAATACCTTGGAATACAACTCACAAGGAACGTAAGGGACCTCTTCAAGGAGAACTACAAACCACTCCTCAACGAAATCAGAGAGGACACAAACAGATGGAGAAACATTCCATGTTCATGGTTAGGAAGAATTAATATCGTGAAAATGGCTATACTGCCCAAAGTAATTTACACAATCAACGCTATCCCCATCAAGCTACCATTGACTTTCTTCACAGAACTGGAAAAAACCACCATGAACTTCATATGGAACCAAAAGAGAGCCCGCATAGCCAAGTCAATTCTAAGCAAAAAGAACACAGCGGGGGGCATGACACTACCGGATTTCAAACTATACTACAAGGCTACAGTAATCAAAACAGCATGGTACTGGTACCAAAACAGATATAGACCAATGGAACAAAACAGAGGCACCGGAGGCAACACAACATATCTACAACCATACAATCTTTGATAAACCTGACAAAAACCAGCAATTGGGAAGGGATTCCCTGTTTAACAAATGGTGTTGGGAAAACTGGCTAGCCATGTGCAGAAAGCAGAAACTGGACCCCTTCCTGACACCTTACACTAAAATTAACTCCAGATGGATTAAAGACTTAAACATAAGACCTGGCACGATAAAAACCCTAGAAGGAAATCTAGGCAAAACTATCCAGGACATAGGAGTAGGCAAGGACTTCATGAACAAAACACCAAAAGCATTGGCAACAAAAGCCAAAATAGACAAATGGGACCTAATGAAACTCCGCAGCTTCTGCACAGCGAAAGAAACAGTCACTAGAGTGAATTGGCAACCAACAGAATGGGAAAACATTTTTGCAGTTTACCCATCTGACAAAGGGCTGATATCCAGAATTTACAAAGAACTCAAACAGATTTACAGGAAAAAAACAAACAAGCCCATTCAAAAGTGGGCAAAGGATATGAACAGACACTTTACGAAAGAAGAAATATATGAGGCCAACAATCATATGAAAAAATGCTCATCGTCACTGGTCGTCAGAGAGATGCAAATCAAAACCACACTGAGATACCATCTCATGCCAATTAGAATGGCGATCATTAAAAAATCTGGAGACAACAGATGCTGGAGAGGATGTGGAGAAAAAGAAACACTTTTACACTGTTGGTGGGAGTGTAAATTAGTTCAACCATTGTGGAAGACAGAGTGGCGATTCCTCAAGGCCTTAGAAATAGAAATTCCATTTGACCCAGCAATCTCATTACTGGGTATATATCCAAAAGACTATAAATCGTTCTGCTATAAGGACACATGTACACGAATGTTCATTGCAGCACTGTTTACAATAGCAAAGACCTGGAATCAACCCAAATGCCCATTGATAATAGACTGGATTGGAAAAATGTGGCACATATACACCATGGAATATTATGCAGCAATCAGAAATGATGAGTTCGTGTCGTTTGTAGGGACATGGATGAATCTGGAGAACATCATCCTCAGCAAACTGACACAAGAACAGAAAATGAAACACCGCATATTCTCACTCATAGGCGGGTGATGAAAAATGAGAACACATGGACACAGAAAGGGGAGTACTAAACACTGGGGTCTATTGGGGGGAAAAGGGGAGGGCCAGTGGGAGGGGGAGGTGGGGAGGGATAGCCTGGGGAGAAATGCCAAATGTGGGTGAAGGGGAGAAGCAAAGCAAAGCACACTGCCATGTGTGTACCTGCGCAACTGTCTTGCATGCTCTGCTCATGTACCCCAAAACCTAAAATCCAATAAAAAATTTAAAAAAAAAAGAGATGTCCTTGGAAAAAGTGAAGCGCCCTCTAATATTTAGGCAAAATGACCCTACTCATAAAGGTACTGCAAAAATCAACAGTGAAATAAAGGACTTGATATTGTGCTCTCTTACAGCTATGTCAACAAAAATTGTAACATTCAAAGCCAAACATTTTGGATTGTTCATTCTTGGTTCATTTTAAGATTTGGCAAAGACTTACAAACCTAATCAAAATTGTATTAAATATTAGTTTGAGCCACAATAACTGCCATTTTTAATAAATTTTAAACAGTGAGATTTAACATAAGATAAAATAAGCTTTTTTTTATTGGTTTCATTTCTCAAGATAAAATCCTAACACAATATTTTGGTTTGCTTGCAGTTTCCAATGGATTGTTTTTAAGTACATATTTTTAATAGCAATTATCTTTGGTTATTTTATCTACATTTGGATTTACAATGGCATTGGGAAGGCAAAAATGAAACTCACCAACCACTTGCAACATTGCTTCAATGGAAAAAAGTCATTCTGAGGTCCAAGTGATGAATTACTTGCAAATAAATTTTTGCAGTCAACCTATATTTTTCTTTTTAAGCTAACAGTATGCTAAAAAGTTGTGATTACAACATACTGTAGATGTTTTTAATAGAAACACATTCAGCACTTTGGGAGGCCAAGCAGGAGGTTCACTTGAGTTAAGGAGTTCACAGTCAGCCTGGGCAACACAAGACGACCTTGTCTCTACAAAAAAAGTTAGCTGGGTGTGGTGGTACATGTTTGTATTCTCAGCTACTTGGGAGGCTGAGGTGGGAAGATTACTTGAACCCAAGAAGAATGAAACAAAGCTAAAGCTATAATTGGTAAAGAATAAAACAAAGCTAGAGCCATAAAATGCAGTCAGGGAATGCATGGTTATTTATGAGATTTGGACAATGTTGATGTTTCTCATGGATATTGTAAACCAAAAATAAAATTGTAAGGCCCCTCCTAACCATCTGAAGGGACTTCCTCCTTAGCCAGGGATCTTTTAAAATTTTACCTGGAGACTGTTTCAGGGCTTGACAGGCAGCAGGGTGTTGGACATGCCTCATTGTACCTATCAGCATTAATATCAACACAGACTTTAAGTCTGGTAAGAAACATTTTACAATCTGTTGTCTCTGAAGCCTACTACCTAAAGGCTTTCTTTGCAAATAAGAACTTGGGTCTCCACAATTCTTTATCTTATCCCAGACCTGTCTTTCTGTTGATCCCAGGTCTTTAGACAAACTTAACCAATTGTCAACCAGAAAATGTTTAAATTTACTTATAGCCTGGAAACCCCTATTTCTAATTATCCTGCCTTTCTATCCAAACCAATGTATTTCTTAAATGTATTTGATTGTTGTCTCCTGCCTCCATGAAATGCTATAAAACCAAGCTGCACCCTAACTTGGGCATGTGTTCACAGGACTTCCCAAGGGCTGTGTCATGGGCTATGGTCACTCATGATTCAGAATAAATGTTTTAAAATATTTTAGAGTTTGAGTCTTTTCATCAACAATAATCAGACATTTTTCTGGAGTGGTATTGTTTTTTTCTGGCTCCATCAAGGTCACAGAGTGGTGCTGTCTGATGTTGATGTTCTGGGAAATGGTTTATGCCCAAGCAGAGGACACCAGGGCCTAGCTGTGAGTGCCAGGGCAGCTCTTAGTTGGGCAAAACATAGCCACTAGTACCAGGACAGCTGGATGTCAGGGGCTGCTTTAGTCTTCTTATTGTTCTTCAGTATCTTTCCACTGTTCCCTTCTATTCCTTGCTTTATGGGCCTCAAGCCCCTTGTGTAGTCTATCCCATATTCCAAAAGCTTGTGATGTGCATAGCCTTAAACTGTGAAGGACTCGGGGCTCCAACTGAAGAGGAACTTTCTGTCCCAGCTGCTAGCTGCTCTACTTATTTATGTTTTTCTTACTGGTTGATAGTTTTTCATGGAATAACTTTGATTACAAGGCAAGGAGTTTAATAGTACAGCATCCACCAGGCCTTAGGGCCCTGGTTTAAATTCTGGCAATAACACTTTACTGTTTTGGCTAGTTGTTTAAAACCATCAAGTTCCAGTTTCTTTATCTATAAAAGAGAGCTTAATAAGCGTCCCTTTCAGGGTTGCTGGCACAATTAGAGCTAGTATTTACAAAGGGGCTAAAGAAGAGCTGACTTTCAACAAATGGTGGTTAATGGTGGAAGTAAGACAAAGAATGGAAATGGCTCTACCAGTGACTGACATCCTCCATAGTGTCTTCAAACTCCCCATCTTGCCCCAGCATCATTTATATCTAATCTATCAGCCTTGTTGGAAGATATAATTAGAGCCATATATTCTGAGAAAAACTGAGCATTTGTAGATAATAAAGAAGTCTACACACTTAAACAAAGCCAATGCTATGACAGGTAGCAAGAAAGGAATAGAAAATTTGATTTGGAATCCAATAATCCAAATTCCAATTTGGAAAAATGTGCATTCTACAGTAAGTTACTTGACCTTTTGAGTTTTTGGTCTCTTATGTACAAAATGGGTATAAGGAAGGGGTGGGGTTAAGGGAGAAACTGTTGGGAAAATTACATAAGGTAATAATTTTTATTTATAAAATATTTTCTATATAGCAAAGTTTTTACAGACATAAGATCCTATTATCACTAGTCCCTTATGTACATTTTTATTTGCTCTATTTATTTCTTAAATTTATTTACAGTTCTAGTATTTCCTCCAAGGTATTTCCTCCAAGGTATTTAAGCCTCACACCTTCAAGCTAAATTCAACAAAGTTTAGCTAAGTAAACTTATAGCTCTTGAGCTATAACCAAGAATATAGTCAAATGATAGTGACCAACTTTAAACACTGCTGTAACAAAAGACTGATCTGCTTAGGGCTATGCAGGGAGGGACAGAAAGGACTGCAACAAGTATTTCATCTTGACAAGCAATCACTTGACCTAAGAAAGAGTGCTTGACCCTTCATCCTTCAACCAGGAAAACAAAAATAGCAGCCAACTTTCCTAGTCATCTGTTGAGAAGAACCGAGACAACAAATATTTACCAATACCATATTCTACCTTTTTGATTGTCCAGGAGCCGAGAGCTGACTTCTCCATGTGCCTGCTCTGTGTCAAAGTAGAGGCTAGGTGCTCACTGGAGCCCTGAACTTTAATGATTATTGCCCTGTGTTACAGATAACAGGACTCTGGGTCAGGTAGTAAATGGTGGAGTTGAACTGGAGGTAGATCTACTTGAATTGGATATATGAGATTTTTTGCACTTTTTGGGATACCTTCTGCAGAAAAAAAAAATGCTAGCTGAATCAATCCTTTGTTATCTACATTCTGGAGTAAAATTAATGTTCCTATGAGAATGAGAAAGAAGTCATAAAATGTTGGGAGGAAGGGTCTTTGAAAGTGCATTTAAGGAATCCCATTCCTGCCTGGTGGGTAGGTGCTTTTACAGCTGCTAGTTCAGGCCACAGTGACAGGGAAGATTTTAAGGTTCTTCCATATATAGAGCTAAATTTGTGGGCCTGTAGCTTCCAACTATTCAAACCCAGTTGAATTTCTTCCTTGAGGCAGAGAGCCCATGTATAATCCTTTTCTCCTGTGACACGTTGTGTTTGCCTGGGGTCTTCTTGCCAGCCCTTTCAACTGTTTCTCAAAAGGTGTGGGATGTAAATCTCTTCTCTTGAATCTTCTGTGGATGGTTTCTCCCAGTGCCAAGGTCCTTTCAGGAGACCCAGCTTTTCCTAATTCCTTTCAAGATCTGCAGATGACTTAATATCTGCCAAAGCCTGGGCTGTTCATGTAATTAACTGTGTAAACAATCCTAAATCATGGAGCGTGATCTACTCCTTGAGAGCTAAAGTAACCTTAAAGTGAGATAAGAAACATATATATGGTTCAGCCCAAAGAATCTGGTATGTCTTTTAAACCAAAATGCCACATATATTACTTGCTACCTTTATATTTTATCTCTTCATCCAATACTCCAACACTTTTTGGAGTATTGACGTGTAGGGTATGTGGCATTTTCTTAAATATGTATAGATATCTATATATACTCATGGGAAAAAATATACTTTGATTTTTGTGTGTTTTGGAAAACAGGTTGGGTGTGGTGGCTAACATCTGTAATCCCACCACTTTAGGAGGCCTAGGCAGGTGGATTACTTGAGGCCAGGAGTTTGAAACCAGCCTAGCCAACATGGTGAAACGCTGTCTCTATTAAAAACACAAAAATTAGCCTGGTGTGGTTGCACACACCTGTAATCTCAGCTACTTGGAGTCTGAGGCACATTAATCACTTGAACCCAGGAGGCAGAGGTTGCAGTGAGCTGAGAATGCACTATTGTATCCCAGCTTGGGTAAGAGAGCAAAACTCTGTCTAAATAAACCTATAAATTATAGCACTTTTTTATAATTAATAATAAATTATAGTATTTTTATATTAATTTTTATATTATGTGTATTTTTATATTAAAAATAGGAAAAGCTATGCTGCAGTTAAAATGAAAGAACTAGACTTCTAAGAGTTGACATAAAAGACATTTAAGACATATAGTTGATGAATAAAAGCAAGCTACAGAATGATACATACCATATTCTTTTTAAATTTTTAAACAATTTTGTGGGTATATAGTAGGTGTATGTATATGTGGGGTACATAGAATGTTTTGATACAGGCACACAATGTGAAATAAACATATCATGAAGAATGGGGTATCCATCCCTTCAAGCATTTTCCATTGAGTTTCAAACAATCCAATTACATTCTTTGTATTATTTTATGTATAGTTGTTACTATTGACTCCAGTCACCCTTTTGTGCTATCAAGCAGTAGATCTTACTCATATACCATATGATTGTGCTACCTTAATGTTTCTAACCATGGGTTTCTAAACCTAAATCAGAGCCTTACTTTTGAAACACACTGTAGCTTTCTAATTCTAAAATCTCAAACAATACCTAATAGTAATAGATATTACAATACATGATGATACCCAGATCAGATCAACGGCTTATAAACACTCCTGCTCTTTCCTTACTTATTGTAGCCTCTGCCAAGGCACTCTATTTGTTCAATAAATGTAACCTTTAAATTTAACATTTCTTGATATCTCCAGGAAATAGAATAAATGCTTCCTAATCTATAGGAGTTACAACCTATTGGAGAAAAGTAAATACCACATGGACATTCAAGCAATAATCTGAAGCAGGCTGTAGTTGGTTGACAGCCTGTGTTGCAGCTGGAGAATTCAGAGAGGGGCATGTTTGTGAGCTGAAATGGTCAGGGAAGTCTTCACTGAGAAGGTAAAGTTTCAGTTGAATCTTAAAGAATGAGAATGGGAAAAATTTGGATTAGCCAAAAAAAAGAGAGGCTGAGGGAGGGAAGATCAGGCTGGGAAATGGGCACAAAAAAGGTAAGTTCAGAAAGCATATTATAACAAAAAAATGAAAAGGAAGTATTGTAAATAACACCTGTTAAATGTTGACTATGAACCAGCTTCCTTGTGTGGCCCCAAGCTCCTCCACAAGATGGCTGTCATTGAATTTACACAACTTCCTAACTGGGTAAGTAATATTATTATTTTATAACTGAAGAAATGAAGTTACCTAATTACGCATTGCTGAAAAGTGGCAGAGCTAAGAGTCAAACTCAGGTTGTCTGATTCAGGTTTTCTGCGTTCTTTCCTGCCTCACACTGTGTTCCTAGGAAGACAACTCCCCAAAACGAAGGGATCCTGTAAGTGAATTTTGAGAAAAAATGTGGAGTATCAGAGATACCAGATTGGGGCCTAGATTATATGAATAGCCTTAAATGCTAAGAAGTTTGAGAATAACTTAATGAAAGTCTTATATGACAAGAAATTTTAAATTATCATCCAGTAATCCAGTAGAAAAACTTGATAAAGGTAGCATTTCAAGAATTTTCTGGGAATGGTACATAGAATGGACTAAATAGTAAGAAAGTGGAGACTAGAGGCTAGACAGGAGAATATTTCTATAATTTAGGAATAGATAATTTATCAAGGGACGATGGATGATGGGCAGCCTAACGATCCAGTGTGCTGTGCAACATTTCACCTCACTTGACAATGAAATCCAAAACCACTTGGAATGCAAATGACATATATGTTAATGAAGACATAATAAGCTCTTATGTAACTTGATGTATGTAAATACACACAAATATGTAAGCTTGGATTATAAAAGATAGGCAAGCCCTACTCAGTTAGCTTCTCCAGGCTCAGACTTTGAAAATGAGGATGCTTTTACCATTGACTTTTCTGTTTGTTATTAGTTCTCCAGGTTGGGCAATAGATAGGCACTACTACATAGGCATTAAAGAAATCATTTGGAACTATGCTCCTTCTGGTAAAAATATGATCAATGGAAAGGCTTTCTCTGAAGACCTGTAAGTAATCCTTTGCATTTAAAAAGTTACTATCTAAAGCAAAAGTTGGTAATTGTTGATCATTGATGAAATGCTGATGAAGACTTTCTCATGATTGACACTTTCAGGGCACATATGCCATTAGAACCACTTCATTTGTTTAGCTTAAATATGGTATAAAAAAGAGGTAGAAATACAAATCCAAAATTGCTCTTTCCTGTAATTATTGCCACTTTTGCCCTCCTGACACATTATTTTGCAGATCATAGCTAATTCTATTTATCATTACTTTTGTTCACATGACAAGGTATAAAACACTTTCCTTTTGATATGTGTGAAGCCATTTTCTTAAGTTTTCTCTTCAGATATTTGAGAGAGGAAAATATAGAGGACATGAGTGGGGTTCTGATTTCCCATGGTTTAGGGGAAAAACACCCTAATGCTACCAATAAATCCACAAATTCATTCAAATGTGTCAACAGTCCTATATAATGGGAATTGACCTACTATTTGAATGCTAAAGTAACTTTAAAGTGGGGTTAGAAATCTATATGCAGTTCAGTTTAAAGAATTTGGTATGTCTTTTAAACAAAAATGCCACGTTTTACTTACTACATTTGTATTTGATTTCTTCATTCAGTATTTCAACATTCTTCTCATCAATTACACCTAGTTTTGACTCCCTTCACATATTCTCTTGCCTCCAGGTTTTATCTGCCAAAATTAGCTGTGGAGCTTTTGACCTCTCATTTTAATTTGTTTAACATTTTGTTTCTTTCCAGTCAAAATTGGTTAAAGTTCTGTCTTTTTGGTTTGTTTATAGAGAATTTTTACAAGGAGGTCAAGCAAGAAAGAGCTTTATTTATAAAAAGGCTTTGTATTTTCAATATACTGATAATACATTTCAAAGGATCATTGAAAAACCATCATGGTTGGGATTTTTAGGTCCAATGATTAAGGCAGAGACTGGAGACTTCATTTATGTACATGCAAAAAATAATGCTTCAAGACCTTATAGTTTTCATCCTCATGGACTCACCTACTCCAAAGAAAATGAAGGTAAGCAGACCCTCTTTCCTGCATTCATGAGTTTTGCTTATGGGGAGTATGAGCACATCACATTAGAAAAAGCCAGGTGATCATGGACCGGTCAGCATTGTGAACTACGTGGGGTTTACAGTGACGCAGACTCTACTTCCAACCTATTTAATGTTTATACCCATGACAGTTCTTTTTCAGTTTCTCATCTTAATTGAGTAACAGCCCTTATGCAAATCCTAGGAAATGAAACACTTTTCCCTCACCACATAAGAAAAAAAGAAGGCATTGTTTTGTTTTGTTTTGTAAGAAACGCTCATGAGCTAAATGTTTTATTTTTTTTATTGCGTTTTAGGTTTTGGGGTACATGTGAAGAACATGCAAGATAGTTGCATAAGTACACACATGGCAGTGTGATTTGCTGCCTTCCTCCCCTTCACCTATATCTGGCATTTCTCCCCATGCTCTCTCTCCCCAGCTCCCCCACCCCCCACTGTCCCTCCCCTTTTCCCCCCAACAGACCCCAGTGTATAGTGCTCCCCTCCCTGTTTCCATGTGTTCTCATTGTTCAACATCCGCCTATGAGTGAGAACATGCGGTATTTCATTTTCTGTTCTTGTGTCAGTTTGCTGAGAATGATGTTCTCCAGGTTCATCCATGTCCCTATAAAGGACACGAACTCATCGTTTTTGATTGCTGCATAATATTCCATGGTGTATATGTGCCACATTTTCCCTGTCCAGTCTATCATCGATGGGCATTTGGGTTGATTCCAGGTCTTTGCTATTGTAAACAGTGCTGCAATGAACATTCGTGTGCATGTGTCCTTACAGTAGAACGATTTATAGTCCTTTGGATATATACCCTGTAATGGGATTGCTGGGTCAAATGGAATTTCTATTTCTAGGTCCTTGAGGAATCGCCACACTGTCTTCCACAATGGTTGAACTAATTTACACTCCCACCAGCAGTGTAAAAGTGTTCCTATTTCTCCACATCCTCTCCAGTATCTGTTGTTTCCAGATTTTTTAATGATCACCATTCTAACTGGCGTGAGATGGTATCTCAATGTGGTTTTGATTTGCATCTCTCTGATGACCAGTGACGATGAGCATTTTTTATATGTTTGTTGGCCTCATGTATGTCTTCTTTTGTAAAGTGTCTGCTCATATCCTTTGCCCACTTACTAACGGGCTTTTTTTTTTTTTTTTTTCTTGTAAATCTGTTTGAGTTCTTTGTAAATTCTGGATATCAGCCCTTTGTCAGATGGGTAAACTGCAAAAATGTTTTCCCATTCTGTTGGTTGTCGATTCACTCTAGTGACTGTTTCTTTTGCTGTGCAGAAACTGTGGAGTTTGATTAGGTCCCATTTGTCTATTTTGGCGTTTGTTGCCAATGCTTTTGGTGTTTTGTTCATGAAGTCCTTGCCTACTCCTATGTCCTGAATGGTTTTGCCTAGATTTTCTTCTAGGGTCTTTATGGTGTTAGGTCTTATGTTTAAGCCTTTAATCCATCTGGAGTTAATTTTAGTGTAAGGTGTCAGGAAGGGGTCCAGTTTCTGCTTTCTGCACATAGCTAGCCAGTATGAGCTAAATGTTAGGTTGGCAGAAATCCTATACTGCCCCCACCTCGTTTCCATTTCCTAGTAGATGAGGATCACCCTTTGGAAAGATATAAGTTTCAAGAGAAATCGCTACTTCCAGACAGAATCTTCTCTCATACTCATCTACAGTCACAGATACATCCTAATTTTGAAAAAAGGGAGGGGAAGAGAAAGCCAACAAGTGGGGTTTTATGAGTTTTTGGGAGAAAGCAAAGAAAGCTAGGAAAAGAGAGTTTGGGCTTGTCTTGAGTAGAACATAGATATTTTTTCCCAGTGTTTGAAATGTGTTTTTTAAAAGGCCTGGTATAAATCTTTAGAAAATTGGAACTTTAGGCCAACTTGGTAAGAGTGCCACCTATAGAATGAGTGCTTCTTCCGACAGAGGCTCTATGATAATGCAGGGTCGTGGAAATCCCATATGCCATTTTATTCATCTATCATCATCATTTTGCCATGTTATATAACCATCTTGCAATGATTATTGCTCTTTAAATATATTCTATGAAAAAAAGAGAAAAATTGTCTATATTACAGACATATAATGTGAAAAATGTTAACAAGAGTTTGCTTTATTTGTTTATTTTTTAATCAACTCTCAGAACTTAGATTGAGGTTTGATGATTCCCTCAGGGAAGCATGAAGAACTAGAAACAGGCCTTGAATTAATCCTCTGGACTGAAACAGACTCAGGAAACCGGACCATGACCGGAAGCAGCTCCAGATGGGCCGCTGGGCGGGAAGAAAGTACAAAAGTCAGCCAGTCATAATCTCTTCATGTTCAGTGTGGAACAGGAGGGTCCAAAAAGATGAATAAAGAATTGGAGGCTGCTCATGCTTCAAAGTCTTTTATTGAATAAAGGACTTTTATCCATATTTAGCAGGATCCCAGCCACAAGGGGTAAGGATCTGAGGCAAAATTTTAGCCAGAGAAGAAGAAAGAAAAGAGCGCAAGGGTCCAAAGTCAGAACTGAGGTAATAGTTCAGAGTAATGGCAGAGGCCACTTTGGCAGTGGGCTACTTGGAAATAACAGGGACACCCTTGGGTGCCCTGGGTCCCAAGTGTGACTAGCCATGAAGAAAACATGGAGGGCAACTCGGGAATCCAGAGGTTACCTCTGCATCTGAGGTCTAGGCACATGGTAGGTGCAAAATAAATATTTGTTGGATCCATCAGCAAAGGTGATGATGGCCTGTTAATATACCGCCTGCTGCATTCCAATTTGGTTTAAAAACTGCAGCCAAACTGAGCATTCAGGTAGACGCCAACTAAGGGGGATTTAGGGAGGTAGGAATCTGGGAAATGGTGGAGAGAAATGCACACTTTTAAAGAAATACAGATTACCATACATTCATAGCTTAATGGAGGAAGCCTGAGTCACATTCAAAATAGTGTTATCCAATATTTACTGTAACCACAGTGCAGAATATGTTTTCTAGGTGCTATGTATCCTGATAATACGACAGGCTTGCAAAAGGAAGATGACTATCTGGAGCCAGGGAAACAATATACCTACAAGTGGTATGTAGAAGAAAAGCAGGGACCTGGCCCCAATGACAGTAATTGTGTGACAAGGATTTACCACTCACATGTAGACACTGTAAAAGACGTGCCTTCGGGACTTATTGGACCAATTCTGACTTGTAAAAGAGGTAAGTTTTTTTTTTAATCTCACTGCAGTAAAAGAGTAAACCGGAATGGGTAGGCTGTCCTCTGCTCTCCTAGAGGAATTTTCCTATCCAAGGTGCTCCATTTTCCTGCTTTAACTTTGATTTTCCAGTCAAGAATGAAAACTTGCCATCTTGAACTCTGAGCACTAGATGGCGATCTCAAGTCCAACCCTCAGTTCAATCAATAATGTAGGTTGATCACTAGATGGTAGTCCAACCCAATAAACTTCGCTTCAGCCATCTTCATTCAAACTTACTGCCACGGTGCAGAATATGTTTTCTAGGTGCTATGTATCCTGATAATATGACAGCCTTGCAAAAGGAAGGTCTGTTGCATTGTTTATGTTTTTTTTAAGTTTATGTTTTTATGTTTATGTTTTAAGGTAAATTAAATCATCAGTTAGAATCATCAGTTTATTAATAATTCTTGCCAGGAGGAAGTTTTACTGATAGGTTTCAAACTTGCAAGGAAATACAGAGTTTGGAAAATTCTGATTTGGTTCATTAAAACAAGATTAACAAAGTGATAGCACTTGATTTTTACGAAGTTAATGAATGAATTTAACTTCCCATGACAATCAAAGTTTAAATTTTAGGTAAACAGTTTTTTTCAATAAATATTTTAACAATTGCAGTTTCCTATAGTAAACACACATAGTCTCATGGTTACAAATCACATTCCTTGGGAGATACCTTTTAAAATCAACTTTGGAAGAGCTTTTTGACCTTCTCAAACTTGCAAGAAACTCAACTGCATAATGGCAAATTAAAGAATAAGTGTTTGTTATATTTAACTTAAACAGTATCTAGTCTATCTAGGCTATCTAGTCTGAACATCTCCAAACTTTCTCCCTTTTCTTTTTAAACAGTAAGATAACTTAATGCTTTGCATTCTCAAAGGCAAGTATGTGAACTGTCATCAAGGGTTCTTTGGTTGGGTGCAGTGGCTCATGCCTGTAATCCCAGTACTTTAGGAGGCCAGGGTGGGAGGATTGCTTAAGGCCAAGATTTCAAGACCAGCCTGGGCAACATAGTGAAACTGCATCTGTACAAAAAAAGAGAAAGGAAAGAAAGATAGAAGAAAGAAAGAAAGAAAGAAAGAAAGAAAGAAATATAGAAAGATAGAAAGACAGAGAGAGAGAGAGAGAGAGAGAGAGAGAGAGAGAGAGAGAAAGAGAGAGAGAGAGAGAGAGAGAAAGAAAGAAAGAAAGAAAGAGAGAAAGAAAGAAAGAGAGAAAGAAAGAAAAAGAAAGAAAGCTTCTCGTTTACAGTTATGTTGATTTATGCCCTATGGTTTTAAATATAAGGCTGATATAAAATATTTGGCTGATAATTCATATATAATATTTTTATATGTTATGTTTATATATAACAATCGTAATCCCACTGTCCTAGGCACTTTTCTCTTTTGTTCACGCTAAGCTCTCAGAGTGATCTTATCCATTCTGAGTCATTTGTCTCCATCTGTGTGTTAATGAATCTGAAATCTACAACTTTGGTTCAAACTCCTTTACTGATGGTCAGGGCTGGCAACTTGACATCTCTATTTGGGTGTTTCATTGGTACCTAAATACATCATATTCCAAAACCCATCATTTTTTCCTGCCCTGAATCTCTCCCTTCCTTCTGTGTTCCCTGCCTTGGGGAATGGCTCCAGTACGTTCCAGTTAGTCACCAGAGACAAAACACTGGGTATCATTCCTGATACTGCCCTCTCCCTCACTACTTCCTAAATACATCAATCAAATCCCACTACCTGTACTTCCTACACATCACTAGATCAGCTCACTCCTCTTCAGCTCCACGAAGAGCTCTAACCTAGTTCTTCTTCAGCTCTAACCTAGTTCAGGCCATTGCCATCCTTTTGCCAGATACCAGCAGCAGCCTCTTAACTGCCCACCAGTCTCTAGTGTTTCCCCTTTCATTTGATCTCCACTTGGCTTTCTGTCTGTGAGGAGAAGGTGGGAGGATGATTCTGATTCTGTCACTCCTTTGCTTACAATCCTTTAATGACTGCTAATTGTTCTGATGATAAAGTCCAAATTCCTTTTAGCTTAACTGCTGCCTGGAATCTTCTCTACAGGTATACCCCAGCAAACTCCTCATCCTTTAAGTATCAACTGAGGTGTCACTGCCTTCAGAGGTTTCCATACCCAAGATTCAATTAATCATCTCCCAAACACTGAGTCTTCCTAACTACAGAACTTTACACACTATAGTTAGTATCTTATTTATTGATGGATTCCACCCTTGATTATATGCTCTGCAAGGGTAGATAGGTATTTTGTTCACTTTTATGAACCCAACACTTGCCATAGTGCTTGATACATTACAAACATTCAATAAACATTTGTTGAGTATATACACAGAAGAATAAATGAATTGGTATGAACAAGTTATCCTTCATTAGAGAAGGCACAAATTATGAGACTTTGAGCAATCTCACGCGTTAATGGTCATCAGATGCAGATAGATACTGCAGAAAGTTACTGATTTGAAGTAAAGATGAGTATGGATTCTTTAAATTTGGTTTCATAGATATAATATGGTTTTTAAAGTTTGTTGCAAACTTCACAAAAACTGACAAACACATGGCAAACATTTACCTTTTTCATGGGCCCTAACAATTAACAAAACTGTTTATTGTAAAAGTAGTTTTATCTTTGACAATGGTTCTAATTAATGTCTCCATGAAAAGTAAGAAATGTGTTTTTTGTTTTAGGGACGCTGATCGGAGACACTGAAAAAGATATTGACAGGTCTTATTTTCTGATGTTTTCTACAACTGATGAAAGAAGTAGCTGGTATAGTGATGAAAATATTCGTGCATTTACTGAATCTGGCAAAATCAACACTAGTGATCCCAGTTTTGAGGAGAGCATGAGTATGCAATGTAAGATTAAAAAGAACTTTCTCATACATAATATCTTGTAAATCTAACTTCTATGATTGTATTTAGTCATTTCCCTTTGTTTAAGTTTGTTTAATTGAGTTTCTATTTTTCAGCGTTTCACTCAGAGTATACTGGCTGACATGCATTTCCTAAGTCCGATAGCAAATTTGATCCACGTTTGTTTTCTGAAGTCTGATATTGACTAAAAATAGGTGATAAAAACATAAGAAAGATGTATCTTTAAGTCATAAAATACGGAATAACGAAGACATAATTGACCACATTTTTATGAATATGTGTTTTTATCCAACATAGTATTTTTGTTTCAGAAATGATGTCTCCATACTCCATCACCTTTATCCTTGCTTTCTGGTTTCATGAACTTAGTCTCTATTATTTTCCTTTTTCACTGCTTCCTGCCTTTCAGGTTTCTACCTCTTGCCTTTAAGCCTTTGTGCTCCCCTCATTTCTCACAATACAAAATGCATACGACCTCCTTTTCTATGAAACACAAATCAGATGTTGTAGATTATGTGTGAGAACAATGTTGACACTGGGAAGTTTATATTAATATAATAAGGAAATACATCAAATTTTTATCACGTAGCACTGATCTATCATGCCTCATGGATTAATATACATTTATTTTCAGCAATAAATGGATACGTGTATGGAAATCTGCCAAATCTCACCATGTGTGCTGAAGATAGGGTCAAGTGGTATTTTGTTGGCATGGGTGGCGGGGCTGACATACACTCCATCTACCTCCACGGACAAACTCTGATCTCTCGGAATCACAGAAAGGACACAATTATGGTCTTCCCCTCCTCACTGGAAGATGCCTTCATGGTGGCCAAGGGCCCCGGAGAGTGGATGCTGGGATGCCAGATATATGGTAGGGATTTATAACTTTTGTGTAATAAATACAGAGTCGGAAAACTTACAAGGTCACAACCCATTACAGTGTCTTACCTTACAAATGACGAAACTGATATCCAACATTCCTTTTGGAAACAGTCAGTGATGGAACCCAGGAACCCAGGTCCCTGACATCTTTTCACTCGATTACTATACATCCTTTTAAGTATATAGGATTGGGTTGCTGTTTTTACAAAAACTTTCATATCCATTGTAAGAATATAAACCCTGAGTGAGAATCCTGAGTGTCAGACAGAGCAGATATTATTACAGTTTGTTCTTTAATTCAGGAGACAAGTATCAAAATCCTATGGGAAGCAGAGCAAGAAATTATGCAGAACCCAATACTTCTAATTCATTACTCAAGTAATCCTCCTTATTTTTGTTTATTTCCCTCTCCAATCACATTTGCCATTTAATGACAGAATGGTCAGTTATGAAGTTATTGATCTTTTCTATTCCTGAATATGACCAAACTATATATAATCATGTAAATGTTCTGGGTTATTTTTCAATCAGAAAACATAATTTTCATTAGAATTAAAGAATTTAACTTTATTTTTTTGGTAGAAAAATGAAGTTTATTTCTCTGATGAAAAACCTTTCTTTTTGTAAGTCCTGAACTTTGGTTAGTATCATGTTTCAATTAATTATTCAAACCACTAAATGACAAGTATTTATCAGGATTTTCTATGTGCTGCATCCCTCCCCAGGCTGTGAGAAAAGGAAGAACCACTCGCGGCTCTTATAACTCAAGGACTGGATTTAGGGACAAAAAGCTGTCACTTAGAAAAGATGATCACTTTCAGATTAAAATGTACACTCAGTTCCACCAATACCTCCCATCTACCTTATTCTCAGATCATGCCCTCAAGTCAGTCTTTCCACCTCAGCTCTGCAGAAAGACTAGTGTCAGCCCTAGACCAAGTGAGAAAATGCCTCAAAGCCTTGTTGGCTGATGGGATGCCATCACTTTCTCCTGTGTGTCTTTTCTTTCTGTGTCCTTCTGCAGCTTTTCTGCTTTTTAATTTACTCCTTTTTTTTTTCTTTTTTGGTAATTACAAGAATATATCAATACATCTTTGCCGGAAAGAAAGGTAGGAAGGAAAGAATGGAGACAAAAAAGAGGGAGAATGGAAGGAGGGAGGGAAGAAAGAGGTAGAAAAATAGGTGGAGGGAGGCAGGCAGAAAGAGAAAGAAGTCTAATGCAGTATGTATTAGCCTGTTCATACCAGCTCAAAGAGCTGAGAGTTAAATAATCCAGCCGTTAAACTATTGGTAGCTTCAAACTGGTCACAATGGGCATGCTTACACCACAGAAAAAATAGCACGCATATCAGAGTCAGTGTTTGGCTTTGGAGAGCTGCTTTAAGGACATACCACTAGTCCAGCTCCACCCAATCACCATCTTAATCACTGTAATAAATTCATGCAAGTACTAGAAAACCTGTTTACTCTACACTTTCACGCAACATAAACATGAGCATGTAGAAACAACACACAGCTATGTTTTGTGTTTTGTTTTATGTAAGTAGATCACACTGCATATAATATTCTGTTGTTTTCATCACTCATATCAAAGTCTTAAAGTCTCTTTTCATGTATTTCCAATACATTTAACTCATTCTTTTTAACTGTTGCATAGTTTTCCATATTTTGGTTGTACTGTAATTTATTTAACCATTTGCCTACTGATAGATGTTTAAATTGCTACTGCTTTTTTGGTTTATTAACAATGTTACAGTTAATACCTTTTTTTTGAGATGGAGTTTTGCTCTTGTTGCCTAGACTGGACTGCAGTGGCCCGACTTGGCTCACTACAACCTCTGCCTTCTGCCTCCTGGGTTCAAGCAATTCTCCTGCCTCAGCCTCCTGAGTAGCTGGGATTACAGGCATGTGCCACCATGCCCAGCTAATTTTGCATTTTTAGTGGAGACGGGGTTTCTCTGTGTTGGTCAGGCTGGTCTCAAACTCCCAACCTCAGGTGATCGATCCACTTGCCTCGGCCTTCCAAAGTGCTAAGATTACAGTCGTGAGCCACCATGCCCAGACTTAGTTAATACCTTTTCATGTATGTGCAAATATTTCTCATGACTATCAAGAAGTGAAACTATATAATAGCAGAGAGTTTTGTTTTTTTTTTTTTTGAGATAGAATCTTGCTCTATTGCCCAGGCTAGAGTTTATGGCTTACTGCAACCTCAATCTTCTGGGCTCAAGCAATCTTCCCACCTCAGCCTCCGGAGTAGTTGGCATTACAGGCACACACCACCACACGTAACTGACTTTTTAAACATTTTTTTGTAGAGATGGGGTTTTGCCATGTTGCCCAGGCTATTCTGAAACTCCTGGGCTCAAGTGAGGCCACTTGCCTCGACCTCTCAAAGTGCTGAGATTACACGTATGAGCCACTGCCTGCTTTTAATTTTAACAAATTGTCTTTCAAAAAGTCTCTACTAATTAACATTCCCACCAACAGTGCTCTGAAATTAAAACACAGGACTGATCTTCTCATGCCTTGAGTTTCTTTCTTCCTGCCAAGTAGTTAATGAACTAAACCAACTAACTCATTAGTGGCTACTAGTAGTAATTTCATGTTCATGAGGGGAGATGTTCTTGGACTCTCAAATTCTTCTCAGTATATAGGCACCATCTTCACATAAGACTTGGTCCAAAGTTGGTTATTATTCTCTAATAATATATATCCCTTTAATATTCACTTTTGCATCCTGACTTTTGTACTTATTTCATACATTTTATGTTTTTTTCCATCGATTTCATACATCATATTTCTCAAAGAAATAGAAAGTCTCGATATTGTTGGCTAAAACTGAAAATACATCTTGACCAAGAAAATTGTCTGAATGTTTTAATAACATTCTCTTTTTGGGTTTACTGTTTTTCAGAGAGTATGCAGGCATTTTTCAATGTAAGTAATTGCCAGAAACCTTCAACAGATGTTACTGGGACACATGTTATACATTACTATATTGCTGCTAAGGAAATTCTCTGGAGCTATGCTCCATTTGGTATAGATTTCTTCACTGAAAAAAATTTAACAGCAGTTGGAAGGTAATGATTCACTGGTTAAAATATTGATAGTTAAATAATTAACATAATTGAAATCTTTCATAATCTAGTTACTTCTCAAAAGGATTTAGGCATCTAATTAAAATATATTGATAAAATAAATATGAAAAATAATTGGAAAAATTTGAAGCCAAGGAGCATTGCTAGACAAAATTCTTCTCTAAATCCCTGGCAGACAATGTAAAGGAAAATGTACTACTCATCTTTTTCCTAGTACAAAACTTTAAAATGGATTTATATTATACTTCCGAAACATTTAACAGCATAAGACAATGTCATCAATAACATTTTATAAAAATTTTTAAACATTTTTTATTATTTATGTGTAACTTATACACTCCTGCTAATATCTGAAGGCATAATTATCGAATGTGATATCCTTAAACTATATTCTATAAATATTATTAACTCAATAACACCTAAGAATATATTAGCAATTATTATCTTAATAACCAAAAACTAACACTAAAATGCATTACTCTGGCATTAGCATTTAAAAGTGGGCAAAAAGTTTTTCTGATAGTCCAACTGCTAAGTGTATTTACCAGATTGAGGACAACAGGAGATTTAATTCTTCTGGCCTATTGAATGAAGATGCATGTTAGAACAAAGTTCTAAAACCACCAGAAAATAATGTTCTTTATGATGTTTATTTTTCTCTAATTCACTCACAGGAATTTTAGAAAGCAAAGAACACTATGTCAAGTAAACAGTTTCTCTTCTTTTTTAAAATTATTTATTGATACATGATATAGGTACAGATTTATGGGCAGTGATATTTTGATATGTTCATACAGTGTATGATACCTAAATCAGAGAATTTAGGATACTCATTGCCTCAAACATCCATCATTTCTTCGTGGTGGAAACATTTCAAATTTTTTCTTGTGGCTATTTTGGAATATGTGATTTATTGTTGTTAACCATAGTCACCCCACTGAGCTGTTGAACACATATTAAGGGCATATTTCTTTCAATTAATTGTATGTTTGTACCCATTAACAACCTCTCTTCACCGTCCATTCCTCCCCACCCCCACCCCCACAGTGGTATATTCAGGTGGATGCACATGAGCAACAGCTGTGGCAGGCAGGGCAAGTCGATCCCCAGTACCCAAGATGGTGCACTTGGGTAAAAGCAGCAGTAGACAGGTGTGCCTGTCCTCAGACTCCAAGACAACAGCTAGATGGTTTGGTCTCATGTCTACTAAAGGTGCATTCAGGTGTGTGGTAGCCCTGCTCCTGAAAGGGCAGTATTTGCTATCACTGGCAGTCGCTCCAGGCAGGTGGCTCTCAGGCTCTGGAGAGGGCACGCACAGCTTTCTTTGTTCTGGGGCAGCCTCCCTGATGCACTGCACAGCCCATCCCCCACAATGTAGAACACCATATGCGCTAGAGTGCTGGGGACCCAGCCACTCTCCTGGATCCAGCTAATGTCACAGTGCTTCAGCACTCTGAGTGGACACAGGGGAATGTCAGTGAAGTTCTAGGGATGTGGAGATACAGTGGCTGTTGGGCCCTGGGGCAGGATGCAGTCTGGTGGGGGCTGGGCTCTCAAAATGGTTCCATGCTATAGCTATTTGGGTCTCGGGGGTTGTATGGGACCCAGAATGAACTCCATCTCTGGAATAATGAGATTGTATCAACTCCAGGCCACTCTCTCTACTAGTCTCAAAGCCTACAAGGACTGAGGGTCTCTCCTGTGGCTAGGATTGCAGGAATCCACGGTAGAAGTGTGGACTCCTGGGGATCTCTCACTTACCCTTTTCCCACACTGGGGAGCCTCTCCTGGATCCCAGCCAATCTGAGCAGTGAGGCTGCCTTGCTTCCCTCTCCTTCTGTGCCTCAGGTGTTCTTTGACATTTTCCTGCCAAATTCCAGTGTTCTCTCTTAGATGCTCTGTCCAGTTTGTGATTATCTACTCAGTGATTTGGTCCTTGTGAGTGCGAGTGCTGGGTGTCTGTAGTCCTTTTCTTACATTTTAAGCTCATCAATAAATTACTCAATCTGTGTAATGGAAATTTCATATTAAATGTCAGAAACATAACTGGGCTTAGAGCAAAAAACTAGATTTAGCTTTAGAGCTTACTCTCATTTTATACTGACTAAAATAAGTATGAATTAATAGATTCATTTTGCTTGATTCTCCTGGCTATAAAATTCTATGATGTTTTTGGCACAGCAAGTTACTTCATTATTAGGAAATACTTTTTCTCAGAGGCTCCTTTTTTATTATAATAATTTAAAAAATAATAACATCTCTTTTTATATTATATCATCTCTGCAAATAGTTGTTTTAATAGCAATATTTGTTATTACCTGCTTGAAAAAAGTCAGATATAATATCTTTTTATCCCAAAAGGAAGTTTGCAGGCAAATAACTAGGTAGATACATATAGATAACTATATACATGTGCATAGACAAAAACCAGAAAGGATATTTATAGAAAATATTGACTGTGGTAATATATAGATGGTGGGATTATGGAGATTTCTGTTTTCTTTGTTGTGTTTTTGTTTCTCTTCCCAATTTTAGACAATGAGCATGCATTACTTTTATAATCAGAAATAAATTGCAAATATTTTAAACAGATGTGTTTGGATTCTTTCTTTCTTTTCACATAACTGTAAATATAAAAGTTCTTTGTGTATCTGCTTTCTCTGCGCAGTGAATCCAGGCTATTTTTTGAACAAAGTCCAACCAGAATTGGAGGAGCTTACAAAAAACTGGTTTACCGTGAATACACAGATGCTTCCTTCCAAACACAGAAGGCAGGAGAAGAACATCTTGGAATCCTTGGTGAAATTCTATTCATAGCTCGTGGGGTTATAAACATTATTTATTAATATTCTGCAATCAAAACAGTATTCACCAATTCACAGTTATAGATTTCAGTTGTAATATATAGCCTTATGAAAATAATACATTGATTTACCCAATGTCTTTTTTTATTAAATTAAATTTTATTTTATTTTAGACAATCTTGTTCTGTTGCCCAGGCTGGAGTACAGTGGTGTGATATCTGTTTACTGCAACCTCCACCTCTTAGGCTCAAGCAATCCTCTCACCTCAGTCTCCGGAGTAGCTGGGACTACGGGAACGCAACATCATACCCAGCTAATTTTTGTGGTGTTTTGTTTTGTTTTGTTTTTTTGAGACAGGGTCTCACTGTTGCCCAGGCTACAGTGCAGTCCCTCAATTTCAGCTCACTGCAATCTCTGCCTCTCAGGTTCATAGGTTCAAGTGATTCTCATGCTTCAGCCTCCCACGTAGCTGGGACCACAGGCACACACCATCACACCTGGATAATTGCTGTATGTTGTAGAGACAAGGTTTCACCATGTTGCCCAGGTTGTTCTCAAACTTCTGGGCTCAAGCCATCTTCCCATCTTGGCCTCCCAAAGGGCTGGGATTACAAATGTGAGCCACTGAGCCCAGCCAACTCGGTGATTTTAACTACATTCTTTGGTCCTATAAATCCAAAAAGACTAATATATTCATCTAATATCTAATACCTTTGATCCAAAGTGACTTTGTAAGACCTTGAATCATCTAGACTTCTTGCAGTTGCACCCTTTTCTGGATTCATGACATCATCCCTTTAATTTCTTCCTAAAAGAACTTTACTGTGGCTCAGGCCTGTAATCCCAGCTTTTGGGAGGCCTAGACAGGTGGATGACCTGAGGTCGGGAGTTTGAGACCAGCCTGACCAACATGGGGAAACCCCGTCTCTACTAAAAATACAAGAAATTGAGCCTGGCACATGCCTGTAATCCCAGCCACTCGGGAGGCTGAGGCAGGAGAATTGATTGATCTCAGGAGGCGGAGGTTGCTGTGAGCCAAGATTGTGCCATTGCGCTTCAGCCTGGGCAACAGGTGAAACTCTGTCTCAAAAAAAAATACCAGAAAAAAAAAAAACTTTACTCAATTAATGCAACCTGACAATTATCTTTATGAAATCCAAGGATAACTACTAACTCTGTTGCTTTCTAGGCCCTGTTATTAAGGCAGAGGTGGGAGAGATCATCAAAGTCACTTTCTATAACAATGCTTCCCTGCCGCTCAGCATTCAGCCTCATGGACTGCATTACAACAAGAGCAATGAAGGTTCATTCTATGAAACACCTGGAGGAAGTAAGTAGTGCTCAAGGGAGGTCCAATGGAGCCATACTGCCATATAATGTCAGCAAGTAATATAACTCCTATTGTGCAGCCAAATTGTCACAGTGTAACAGCTCTGTGTACTTATTGTGGCAGTTATTACTTCAGTTCCTATTCGACTGTCACCCGAAGAGAAGGATATGTTCTTGTTCTCAGAGATCTCACAGTCTAGACTAGTGCATGTATGGCCTTAGGTTCTGTTCTATAAATGTTTATTTCTTGCTAGGTGCCCCTTCACCTTCCTCACATGTAAATCCTGGCACAACATTTGTCTATACATGGGAAGTTCCAAACTCTGTAGGTCCCACATCCACGGATCCCAACTGCTTGACCTGGTTCTATTACTCTTCAGTAAATGGGACAAGAGACACCAACAGTGGCCTTCTGGGGCCTCTCCTTGTATGTAGAAATGGAAGTCTTGGAGAGGATGGCAAACAGGTGAGTCCTGAGGCATATGGCCAGGTAAGTCCTGGTGAGAGCTGTCTAAGACAGAGCTGCAGAGGAATGGCAATGTCTCAGGGCCAGAGGAATCAGCAGCTTCAATTTCTGTGTACTGATGTCTCCCAATTCTATTCTTTCCTCAACTAAACACCTGTATTTTCCTCTGCCCAATAAAACTGCACCCTGGCATGTCCCACAGACATCTCATCCTTCTGGACAGACTTTTACTGTCCCTCCATTCCCTAAATCAGCCTCTTTTCTTCCTCCATTTTATTTCTTAGTTAATAATATCACCAAACACTGGACTTTCATCAACAACTCCTTCTGTCTCACCTCCACATTTATCACTAAGTCTCCAATACCTCTGTATTATTTTAGGCACTATCATCTCTTTCTGAATTCCTTTCATTCTTAGCTTCTATCTCTACTCTTGCTTTAATACAGCTAGTCCACATCCCTTCCTAAGGAATCTGGCTATAGCACTCCCTGCAATAAAAATCTCCCCACAATTTGTTGGCTCAGAAGGCAACACATCAGATCCTGACAACTTCTTCTGATTCATGTCCCTTCCCACCCCTACATTGCAGAATTAGCTTCTTCTAATTGGCAAAGTGGAATTCTGCAGTGTGGTGGAATTAGCTCATTAGACCCTGAGTAAGGAAGGCTATTTCACATGTCTGTTTTTCCCCTCTTCTCTCCATCTGGAATGGCCTTTCCTCACTGTTTGCTCTGCCAAAAGAGGGAGACATTTTTGAAACACAGACTGAGAGTACCTTCCTTTGGACAATGTTCCTTAACTAAAGTTTGTTGAAGCTCCTGCAGGTTACCATAGTCGTTTAGGTATGTTTCTATCAGAGTATTTATCCATGCAATTGTTTTTATTGGCCTGTTTCTTCCACTAGACTGTTTCTAGTGGAAGTACGCACAAGACTTTCTAGAAAGTTTCTAGAAAGTATACACAAGATTTTATTAATTTTTTTATAATAACTACAGCTCCCCTTGGGCATATAATAAGTGCTCAATAAATGTTTGTTAAATGAATTTCCCTTTTTTCTCACTCAGAAGTGAACTAATATCTAGTTATTTTCTACATTTATATAAAAAAGTATAGGTAATGAAGCTTTAAAATCCATAAACATATGTATAACAATGTATATCTTATTCAAAATTATAGATATATATTTATGTTTATCCATATAATGAGTCATATTTATAGTGTCATAATTCTTATAATACTCATTTTTATATTTAATTTAGAAATATGTATATATTTAATTTGTTCAAAAGCCCTTAAAATTCAGACTTTCTAGAATTGAAAACTATGTATTTAACTTACTTTCCATAGAGTACATTATGTTAAAAGCCACTATAAATATCTTATGGTTTAGTTTATGAAATTTAGATGTAGGAATCCCTGGAGTAAACGCTTTGTATGTAAAAAGCCATAGAGATTTCTCCCAACTTCTTAGTTCTATGATAATTTATTCACTGTGACTTGTGCCTTTCTATGGACTATCCAAAATCAGGAAGCCAATTGATCAAATTTTTCACACATACACAATCTCCTTTGTGGGAAATCTTGTATGTAGATCAACCATTTGGCTAGATTTGAATATGGACCATCTATACCATATCTATTCCTTTTTTTATTCTCATCCACAGAAAGGTGTAGACAAAGAGTTTTACCTACTTGCCACAATATTTGATGAAAATAAAAGTTATCTTTTGGATGAAAATATCAGAACATTTATCACAGAGCCTGAAAATGTAGATAAAGAAGATCCAGACTTCCAAGCCTCAAATAAGATGTCCTGTAAGAAAAAAAAAATTACAAGATAAATGCATTAAACACTTACTTAAATTTATTTTGCTAAAGAATTACAGATTAAAAGAGACTTAGGTTTTTCCCACAATGGTTGGCTAATACACGTATATTTCCTTTAAATACCATTTCCCAGACAGGTGCAGTGGCCCACACCTATAATCCCACCATTTTGGGAGGCCAAGGCTGGTGGATCACCTGAGGTCAGGAGTTTGAGACCAGCCTGGCTAAAATGGTGAAACCCCGTTTCTACTAAAAATACAAAGATTAGCTGGTTGTGGTGTCACATGCCTGGAATCCCAGTTACTTGGGAGGCTGAGGCAGGAGAATCACTTGAACCCAGGAGACAGAGGTTGCAGTGAGCCGAGATCATGCCATTGCACTCCAACCTGGGGGACAAAGTGAAACTCCGTCTCAAGAAAATAAATAAATAGATAAATAGTAAGTAAATATCATTTCCCAAGAAGAATATTGTTTATTAGGTTGATTATTTTGAATTTAATTTACCAAACATTTACCAACACCTCTTCATGCAATATATTTTATCTACAGCTAAATGTGAAAAGTCATGTACTTCTCTATTGCCAAATTTGTAGAGTGGGTGCAGTAGGGTGTTTGTTGAGCTGGGTGGGTGGGTGAGTGGGTGGCTGGTTGGTTGCTGGTTTGTGAAGACTGTACAGTGTAGTGAGGAAAGGGCTGATCTGGAATCTGGGGACTTGGACTTTGGTCTTAACAGTTTCATTCATTAGCCATATGACACTGGACAAGTAACTACTTGTCTGGCCTTGATTTCCTCAGCTCTAAAAGGAAGGGCTTGACTGCGATAATCCAATGGAAGTATCATGGAGTTCTGTCATTCTCTAATTCTATAATGTCATTTTAGCCCCCATGAAGTGATTAAATAATGATAAAGGAGAGGAAAATTGAAAAAATCGCTTTGCTGTTTTTACATGAATGAGCTGCTTTATGATTAGTGCTTTGTTGGATTTCAAAAGAAACCAAGTACCAGTAAATTAAATACTCTTTTCTCTGTTACAAATGCCTTGCAGCCATAAATGGATATATGTATGGAAATCTGCCTGGACTGGATATGTGTTTAGGAGACACCGTTTCATGGCACATTTTTAGTGTGGGAGCAGAGGAAAATTTACACGGGATATATTTTTCAGGAAATACCTTCACTTCTTTAGGAGCAAGAAAGGATACAGAAACTGTATTTCCTCATATTTCTAAGACACTTTTGATGACACCTGATTCTATAGGTAAGCAGGTGGGTCTTCTCATTCAGCCTGAAACATCAAAGTATGCAGAAGCACTATCTTTATATGCACTGAATATTCTGTACAAGAAAAAAAACTGAACTGATGCAAACAGTGCTTGAGAAACCTTTGTCCTGTTCCACTTCATTTATAGGAGCCTTAGTATTTCCTATACACATAAATCCCCTTAGTTTTTTCAGGCCTTCTTCCTAGGCCTTTAAGCTTTAAACCATCCCAACGCTCTTCAAAAATGAAGAAGATATTTTAAACCCTTTAAACTCATTTTCATTCTGTTGCATTTCTTACTCTTCTGTCCATTTGTTTCCCAGGCCTTCCTCCTTTGCCCTTACCCTACTGCCTTCTCCCTTCTTCTTTCTATCCTCCTTACTAGCTTTGCTCTCTAGGTAAATGTTTTAGCTTCAGTGAGGTTGGTCCTTCCTGGTAACATTTCTTTTTTTTAAAGAAGGCACCCCATAGCAAAGAACTGTGTGGGGATCAAAGGAAACTAGCCTTCCTTCTGAACCTAGTTTCCTCATTTGTAAAATAAGAATTGCAAAAACTTGTAATTTGCAAAAAGGAATAGACAATGATCAGACGAGATAGGTAAAGTATAGTAAAGTGCTGGCATACATTAGACTGTCAATAAATGCTAGTTTCTTCTTTAATCCAGTAGATTCACCTTCATCCCACATACCTGTCCCCCAAAAAATCCATCTATCTTGGTCAAAAATGACTGATACCAACCAAAAACTGGCTATATGATAAACTACTGTGTAAATGCCATGAATTGGTATCTTGACCCTTTGTGATGCCAAGTAGTCATTTGACTACATTTTCTTCATTTCAAAATTTAAACTTTTACTTTTCAAACAAACGAAAGTTGTGATTCAGACTGATTGGAGGGGGAAAAAAGCACTTTCTCTGGTGCTTTTTCTCTCCTCTTTGTTAGAGGTTGTACCTGCATGCTCATTCGGGGACAACTTATTGCTTTTTCCCGCCCCAGTCCTTCCTCTCCTTTTCCCTGCAGGTGTTTTTCTGAATTTAAAAACTACCACATCTCATTCTCTTTCCCAAGCCTTATCAACTGTAGCAAACGTGCAGACATGTACACCATGTGTTAAGCACTGTACTAGAGACTGTACAGGGATCATTTCAATTCAAACAAATTCTTTTTCTCAAACTCTCTGAGTTTGAAGGTTTTGCTTCCTTGTGCATATTCTTAAACCTTACCCTCCACAAAAGTAACAGCAACAACAGAAATATGGAGAGTTGAAAGAGGATTCATCAAGAAGCAGTGACAGCACGTGGTGGGCCTAAAATTGCCAGGGTAAAAGAAAGAAAACTAGAATTCAGGTGGAATGTTCTGGTCAGAATCAGGCTGGAGTTTTTTGTTTTGTTTTTTTTTTTTGTTTTGTTTTTTTATTTGAGATGGAGTTTCGCTCTTGTTACCCAGGCTGGAGTGCAATGGCGCAATCTCGGCTCACCGCAACCTCTGCCTCCTGGGTTCAGGCAATTCTCCTGCTGCAGCCTCCTGAGTAGCTGGGATTACAGGCATGCGCCACCATGCCCAGCTAATTTTTTGTATTTTTAGTAGAGACGGGGTTTCACCATGTTGACCAGGATGGTCTCAATCTGTTGACCTCGTGATCCACCCACCTCGGCCTCTCAAAGTGCTGGGATTGCAGGTGTGAGCCATCACACCTAGCCTGGAGTTTTTTTGTTATGTTGGTGTGTTTTTATTTTTTGTCATTGTTTTGGATTTTTAATGTATTCAACTTTTTTCACTCACTTCTCTGCTACCTACCAGTCTGTTCAAAGGCATCATCTCTCATCAATTATTATTACTTGTTTTTTGTCTTTTTGGTTTTTTGCTTTCTGTGGAGAATGGGGTCTTGCTATATTGCCCAGGAAGGCCTCGAACTCCTGGGATTAAGCTATCCTCACACCTCTGCTTCCCTAAGAGCTGGATTACAGGCATGAGCCATAGCACCCGGCTCATCGATTATTTTTAATAGCCTCTCAACAGATCTCCTTTCTTCCACCATTGTACACACCAGTCTGTTCTCAGCACAGCTGCTAGAGTGTCCTTAAGCCTTTCATTAACTTAAAATCCTGCAATGTCTCTCCTTTTCACTCAGTAAAAGCTATCGTGTATTCAGTGGCCCACAAGAGCTCCATGACCTGGCCCTCCACACCCTAGTACTCTCCTCCTTGCTCCCTCCCTTCAGATACACCAGCCTCTTGAGTGTTCTTCACACATAGCAAACAGGCTTCTGAACCGGGCTCTTTGCCACCTGTTTCCTCTGCCTGGAGAGAACACATGTTTCCTCCAGATCCACCTCACCTCTTATAAATCTTTGCCCAGATGTCACCCTCCCATCAAGATCTACACCGCTCGCTGCTCTCTTGAGCCCCTCCCAACACACACCCAGAATTCTCAGTCCTCCTTACGCTGTTTTCCTTTTTTCTTTAATCATAGCTCTTATCACCTTCCAGCACACATGCAGGTTGCTTAACATATTTAGTGTCTGTCTTCACAACACCCTGCAATATAAACTCTGAGAGCAAGAATTTTTAACTGTTTTGTTCTCTGATATTTCCCGAGTGCCTAGAAATACGTTTGACACAAGACGGTGATCAATAAATATTTGTTGAATTAATGAAAGAATGAATGAAAGATTTTACTATATTTCTTTTGAGGGTTGCAGCTTATGACTAATTTTACAGAGGAAAGAAATCTGAAGGCAAAGCTTTAACCATTCCTTTCTTATTCGTCTGTAGGAACTTTTGATTTGGTTTGCATAACAATAAAGCATAATCTAGGAGGCATGAAAAATAAATATCATGTGAGGAAATGTGGGAAGCCAAACCCTGATCAAACGCAATACCAGGAGGAGAAAATTATTTACATTGCAGCCGAGGAAATGGAATGGGATTATTCTCCTAGCAGAAAGTGGGAGAATGAACTGCACCGCTTACAAAGAGAGAAGTACCCTGATAGCTCCAGTCTCTAAATGGGAAGGGTTCTAAGGGTTTTTTTCTGAGTCTTCCTCTCCTTTCTGTCTGTCTGTATGTGTTTGTGCCTGTGTGTGTGTGTTGTATTTATTTGTGTTTGGTATAGTGTGTGTGTGTGTGTGTGTGGTGTATTTATTTGTGTTTGGTATGGTGGGTATGTGCATAATGTGGATGTGGTTGTGGTATTTGTGTGTTTAGGATACTCTCAATTATAAATCACTTCAAAATTTGTGGGTGTGTGTGACATACTCAACTGCAAAGGGCTTCAGATCTTTCTAAATGTCCATATAACTTACTTATGGGCTCTAGTTCTTCCTGCCTGTCTTTTCACTTCTTGCACCCTTCCTGGACATACGTTACTATTTAATCTCACCACAGGAAGAGCAACATAACTTCAGCTACATTCAATATCTACAGTCAATCAGAATTTTCTTTTGTCTTCATTGTCTTCTACCTCTATTCTGAGAACTTCACCTTCAAGACACCTATTTTTCTCTTTTTGTACAATTTGATTTCTTTCTCTGGTTTTCTCTCTTACTATTTATGTATTTATCAAAACTAAAGTTGTATCCAGAAAAGAGGCTTTAAAGTGCAGAATGAATATCTAACTCTTTTGCCAGAATTAATATTTTTTTAAAAAAGATGGCTTACGTTTCTAGGTAAAACAGCTTCTAGATATAAGAAGTTCTTCCATATGAGTTCTTTGTCTAAATTATTGGCTAAATTAACTAACTTTGTGGAAGTTTAGTTGTTGTTTTTGTTTTTATTTTCTTAAAGACAAACGAGCATGTATGTGGATAGAAATGGAACACATCTTGGGTCCAAATATAAGAAAGTCTTATATCGTCAATATGATGATAGCACATTCAAAAATCGAACAAAAAGGAGTGAAGATGAAAAACATCTGGATATACTAGGTATTGATGCGCCATAAGATTGGTTTTTGAGTTTTTCTTGTCTTCAGCCATTAGAGATTGTTGTACACATGGAATACATTGTCAGTCTCTACCTTGACAGAGGAATGTGCCTGTAATTCTAATTTGTTTGCTGATAGGCATTTTTATTGGAAAAAAAAGATTTAAGTATTGTTTCCTTAAAAACTAAAGACAATGTAGAAAAGTAATTGTGCTCAGTTTCAGATTACCTGGATTCTTGTTGTCAGTATTAAAAAATTCTAGAAAGGAGTTTAGAAGTTGCATTTAGGGATCATTTCCATAAGATGGAAGCAAAGACCAGGGGACCCTAGTATAGTGAGGAAAGGAACTTCTTTATGTAAATTTAAGTGTCTTATGTCTGAGTGAGGAAAGTGATAACTGTTTCTTCCACCCTTGATAGATCAACTAGGAAACCTCTGAGTCAACCCAGGAGCCTACATGCAATATTTCCACACACCCAACTCCTGTTTCAGCCTTGCTCTCTATGTGTATATTAGAGGTTATTTTATGACATAAGACCCTGAGAAGATGGATTTACATGCTGATGAAGAGAAACTTTTGCTCTTCTTAGTTCTCCATCAGTCTCTAGAGCTTGTCTATTTGTGAGCCCTGGAGGAGAAGCCTGTGTTATCCTGTTGCTGCTGCTTTTGAGTGGGCCCCTATCTTTAGTAACCACAAGATGTTTGTTTTCTCTAGGATTCTGGCTGAATGCATGAATATAAATAATGCAATCTGACCCTCAAGATTCTATTATTATTTCTGCAAAAAGGAAAACACTTTATTATAAAGATAAAACATGCATATTGTTTGGGGAGGTGAAATGGTCACAGGGAGCAAGGAGACCCTGTCTTCAGCTAGCATCTAGCATCCACCAGACATCTTCAGGGTTCTAATTTTAGTAATTTATAGCACAAGTCTGCAGAGAGTTCTTGCTGCTTATCTCACCTCAAAACCATCTGTGTTTCAGAATTTTTCAGAGCCACTGATTCAATCTGCTTCCAAATAGAAAGAAGATTTAAAATGAATTTTATACTTGTAGTTCTTGGCTTAGGATGAAAGGGAGAGAGAGTAAAATAAAGGTTTTCAGTCTGTGAGGGAGAAAATCACTATAACAGGCTCTGCACCTCCTCACAATCCTCCAGTAAAATAAAGAGCAAGAGACTAAAAGGCTTAAAAGTTGAGATTGGTCAAGAAAGAAAAGAAAAGGTTTCATTTTTAAATTGTGTGTTTCCTTAGGCATAAACTGATGTTCATTAAAGTAAGTTTTCTGGCCAAAAAAAAAAACTCATAAAATTCTGAATGATTTAAAATTTTCAGGCAAAAATCATATTTCATAAATCAGCAATGATCTACTTGTTACATGTGTTTATTTCATTTGGCTGCATGTTAAGTAAAAGGATAAGAATAAGTCACTGTGTAAATACTTAAGAAGACAGAGGACTCGTAATTTAAATTAAATAATTACTCATATGTTTTCCTTTTTATATTCCCTAGGTCCATTAATATTGGTCAAACCTGGTCAAAAAATTCAAATTATCTTTAAAAATAAAGCCTTAAGACCATATTCTATTCATGCTCATGGAGTGAAAACAAATAATTCCACTGTTCTTCCAACTCAGCCAGGTAACTACTTTGGGAGAAAAAAATATCCCCAAAAGCTTTTATGCAGGACTATGGGGCTAATGTTCTTTTAAATATATGGGTGCAGTTCCAGATGAGTGAGACCACGGACTAATAAGATGGGCCTGAAGAAAGCATTTGGGATGGGAGTTCCTTCTGCAAGTCAGGTTTACTTTTAGGTTGGGGCACTATGGGCAAAACGGTGAAGTGAAGGTTTGGTCTTCAGGGACCACCTCTCCAGGGTATGAATTTGTCCTCTAGGGCCACCCTCCCTCTCACCTCTGTACCTGTTTAGCTGACAGATATTCTTATACTATATTCAATCTCTCCAACTCAAGAGCTAAAGTTGGAGTTGAGTACACGATGCAGTATGTGAGGAAGCAGGAGAGGATTGAGCCAATAAGAGGAAATGGTGAACTCCATGTATTAACATTTCTATGGAATGGAATCACTGCCACACAGCATGCCATTCAGCATAATTAACTTGGAAGAACATTACTTTTTTTTTGAGACAGAGTTTTGCTCTTGTTGCCCAGGCTGGAGTGCAGTGGTATGATCTTGGCTCACCACAACTTCCGCCTCCCAGATTCATGCCATTCTCCTGTCTCAGCCTCCGGAGTAGCTGTGATTACAGGCATGCACCACAACACTCAGCTAATTTTTTACTTTTAGTAGAGAGGGGGTTTCTCCATGTTGGTCAGGCTGGTCTCAAACTCCCGACCTCAACTGATCCAACCGACTAAGCCTCCCAAAGTGATGGGATTATAGGCGTGAGCCACCGTGCCCAGCTGAACATTAATATTTTTTAATAAAAAATGCCTAGTAAGCAGACTCTGATATGAGGATTTGTGTGCAGGTAGTGCTTGTGGGATCAACTAATATGGAAAGAGTGAGAAATGAGTAGGATTGGACAGGGAGTGAGGTTTAGCAGAGATGCAACCTCCACAGAAGTCACAGCCAACCTAGTTCTGAAGATAGGGTGACCCTCAGCAGTCCTAAGCTGGATTAAGAGAGCTGCGCTGTTGTATCCCTGCACCAGTCATTAGATGCAATCCTTAGCAAGCTGGCTTTCTTCAGCAAGGCTCTCTCCTGATATCTGCTGGAGCAACATGTGCTTCATTCTTGCTCAAGGATATAGGATGGCATTAGAATGTCTACTATAGTTGCACACCAAAGCAAGTAGTTTTGGAATTCAGAGTATCAGTGAAAGCCAACATCAGAAAGAAAAGATTTGTAAAGCAGAGGAACTGACAACAGACTTTGATGTCGGGCAAAATATTTCTTTTTGTTTTTAAAAACAATACTGTCTATAGTCTGTTTGAATCTCCTATCAAGGGAGTTAGCAAGTCAGCCCTCTGTTCTGGTTAGTCAGGAAAGGATCTGCTACATGCGTTCCACAAACACTTCCAAGTACTTTACCTGCTGTATGCCGGGCACTGTGTTGCTGGAAAGCAAGGGTTGGTGCTAAGCAGATTGTTAAAGACTTGAAAGCTGGGGTTGGGGTTTGTTAGTGTCACAGGGCTATGACACCCATGGAAGCTTTGGAAGTGGGAGGTATAGGGTTATGGTGAGGAGGAAGCAAAAGAAGTTTACTGCAAGAATATGGAATTAAGATCCAATAGGACTAACATGCACAGCCTTGAGGGCAGGGAGGAGGTACTTGTGATCCACATGTGGGAAGGTTCAGAGCTGGGATTCGAGGCTTTGTCACGTTGACTAATAAGATCACAAAGCAAGAAGCGAGACCAGAAGTGAAAGCTAGGACTGTGCTGCCTAATCTTTTTATAGCTTTGGTGTTTGCTCATTGTCTGGTTCTTCATAAAGAAGTCTGATTTTAAAGTCTCTATTTAAATACACTTTACTTGTCTATTTCAGGAGAGATTCAAATATATACTTGGCAGATACCTGATAGAACTGGTCCTACCTCACTAGACTTCGAATGCATACCTTGGTTTTACTATTCAACTGTGTCTGTGGCTAAGGTAAACTTTAAATCAAATAATGGCTTTAATCCTATCTTCTCCTAGAAATTACAATGGAAGGAAGAAGGTGTCTGTCATTGTTTTAAAAACTCTTAGTTCTATGGAAACTTTCTTTTAAGTAACTTAACTATTGTTCAGCTTTTATTCCTACATGGGTCTGCATTTTTCAAGAGGAAAATAAATTATTACATTATGATTACTTAGGTTTATGATTCTTTATAAAATCTCACAGTGAATTGAAAGACGTATCTAATTATACAATAATACACTATACTTTGTTGCATTGAATAGTATTTGAATAACAGAAAACAACATACTCTAAATAATTTTAAAATTCAGTTGTGTAGTAGCTGATGTCTATACAAAAAAACTTAAAAATTAGCCAGGCACAGTGGTGCATGTAGTCCTAGGTATGGGAGGCTGAGGTAGGAGGATTGCTTGAGTCCAGGAGTTCCAGATTATGCTGAGCTATGATCACACCATTGAGTAATAAATAAATAATGGTATAATTGTATGATTAATAAGAAATAAACATATCATATTGTGTGGGTGTGTGTTTATATTTAAAACTCTCAACCATAAGGTTCAAGTTTATTTGCACTAAAAAAAAAACAAAAAACAAAAAACAGTGCAAGTATTCTACTTGAACTCTTACTTACCTTGGCCCGCTCTGGCTGGAAAAAGAATCTACACAGAGATTTAATTAAAAAGCAAAATGAAGACAAACAAACCAAGATTCTCAACTAAAAGCTGCTGCAGGGGGCAGAAGCACAAAGGTGAAGAGACTAACTCCTTTAAACTTCCTGCCAACCAACTTCAATGCCAAGAATTCTAACTAAAATCAAAGTGTTTTTTAATTACAATGTCAAAAATAGAGCTAAATCCACTGAAAAATATATCTACAATCCTTGTCAGACGTTTGTTGTTCTCTTCAGACTTCAGCTCTAATAAATGAGGTTACAATTTTTCTTTGATCAAGTACTGAGGCTGTCAAACATTTTGTTCCTCACTCTTGGAATCCCGATAATTAAAAACTCAGGATCTGACCTCACTAAAAACTAAAACTTGATTCTACCTCTTTTGCTTTGTGGGGGAAAATGTTAGTTGTGGCCACAGTGAATGTTCTTGCTTTGCCTCCTCAGGACCTTCACAGTGGACTGGTAGGCCCTCTGATTGTATGCCACAAAGACACCAACCCCAACATAGTTCACCGTGTTCTCCACTTCATGATTTTTAATGAGAACAAATCCTGGTACTTTGAAGACAATATCAACACCTATGCTTCAGAACCAAACAAAGTGGACAGGGAAGATGATGATTTTGAACTCAGCAATGAAATGCACGGTAACATTCACTCGCTGACTCACCAATGGTAACCCACAGGTTGCTCTGCGCAAATGAAACAGATAAAATTGCCTCGCTCGGCACGGTTTATAGCATTCAACCACATAGAACTGGTACAGATCATGTAGACCAGGGGTTGGCAAATTCTTTTCTGCCAAGGGCCAGATAGTAAAGAAGTTAGGCTTACAGGCCACGTGGTCTCTGTCATGAGCCATACTCTACTCTCCCACTGTAGAATGACAGTAGTCGCAGACAATAGGAAAACAAATGGAAGTGGCTGAGAGCCAAAAACTTCATTTATGGACGCCAACATTTGTATCTCATGTAATTTTTCACATGTCAAGAAATAATATTCTTAATTTTTTTTCAACTATTTAGAAATTTAAAAACCATTCTTAGCTCATGAGCCACAGTAACAGGCAGTGGGCTGGATCTTGCCCATAGACCACAGACCACTGACTTAGCAAGCACAGCAAATGCTCGTGTTTTCTAGAGCTATGCAGGCAATGTAAAACTAGGAACATCAGCTGTCATTTCAGGAGGGCTTTACTCCCATAATTTTCTAAGTATTTTACCTGGATGAACACAAGGAGAGGTGGAGCTTGGGGCAAAACAAAGTGAACATGGCCCCACCAACCCTTCCTCATCACCTTACCTTCACAGGCAGAACTTTTGAAAACTTCATGCTCATCAACCAAAATTATTTAGTAGGTCCACTGTGACTACGTGCATCTAGGTACATCCAGATGACCTCCTTCCTTCTGGAATCACAATAGCAAGACAATTATCCAATAGAAAGCACATAAACAATCTCCTGTACTTACTTGCTTAGCCAGGGAAACTTCTGGTCTTAAACCTCTAAGCTGACAGAGCTCATAAGTATGATTGGGTAAAAGATCCTCAACTAAGGCAAATTCAAATATAGTAATTTCCCACTTCTAAGGTTGTTTTTTTTCCCCCTTTTAGAAATTTATGTAAATTTAAAGTTAAGAGTGACATCCATTTTACCAGTATATTTTTTAGTAAGTGTCACAGAGGAGGACACAAAGCACCTTGCAATATGTGTCATCTGCCCTCATGTTGTTTACAGTCGAAGGGATGCCAGACTTGTACATTGCTACAATCCAAGGAGGACGGCAGAGTGTGGGATGCTGTCACAGAAATTTAAACACAGTGGAGTACTTTAAATTCTTATTTGGAAGATGTGAAAAGGCTTCATTCTAGGGAAGAGACATTCAGGTTGATTTTTTTAAGGTTGTATAGGAGTCTGTCCAGTTAGAAAAGGAGGGAGATGACATTCCAGGTAGATGGAAGAATGTCATCTAAATCACATAGCACTTAGGAAGAAAGAGCCAACAGAGTTGTGGAAGACCTCAAACACCTTGTTGAGAATTTAGGCTTGATCTAAACCAGGATTTCTTAACTTTCTGACCTTTTAGGTTAGATAACTCTTTGTCGTAGGGAGCTATCCAGTGCATTGTAGATGTTTATCAACATCTATATCCTCCACCTACTAGATACCAGTAGCATCTCCCCACAAGTTATGGCAACCAAAAATACCTCTAGGCATTGCCAAATGTCTCCCTGGGGGGACAAAATCACCTCCTGTAGAGAGCCACTGTGCTAAAACACCAAGATCACTAGCTAGGGCGTGGTGGGGATAGATGCGTGTTTTAGAAATAACTCTGGCACTCATCCAGGCACTTGTACTCCAAGTGTGGCCCCAGGACCAGCACCATCAGCAGCACTTGGGAGCTTGTTAAAAACGCAGAATTTTAGGCTTCACAGACCTAAGTCAGAATCTGAATTTTAACAAAATTCCCAAGCCATATTCACATTTAAGTGTAAGAAGCACTAGTGTAGAGCAGTGTCTTCTAGTTTCTTCCATTACATCCCTCCATCAGCTGAAAGCATTAGCACCCAGCCTCCATAGATACATAATTATAGATTATATACTTGCACCACTGTACCAATGCATTTTATACATTTTAAAGATGCACACAAAATAGCAAAGTAAAAAGAGGATCTGTGTGTGCATGTACATATATATATTTTAAATCTTCATATTACCCCTTGGAGACCATACCTGCAGAGGTTAAAGGGTGCCTGACCTCATAAATGGCCATTCCAGAAATACAAGTGGCAGATCACAAAGCTCTGACTTAGGGCAGCTAAATAAGAATGGATGCTCCTAATATTCTTCTTTTTATTTTACGGAGACAAGATCTCACTATGTTGCCCACTCTGGTCTTCAACTCCTGAACTCAAGTGATCCTCCCACCTCAGCCTTCCAAAGTACTAAGATTATAAGCATGAGCCACCATGCCTGTCCATTCCTAATGTTCTAAGTCTCTTGTGATAATTTTAAATACATAGTTCACCAATATAAGTAGCCTTAGTTGTGAAATAGTCAAGTTCAACCCAATCGTATTAACACAAAGTCAGTGCCTCGTTTGCTTGGGCAAGAAAAACTCCTTAGAATTAGACACATCCATAAATGGATGGCTTGGTCACATTTAATGACTTCCACAGGCTGGCATCCCCACTGCTGGTGGAAGGTGGTGGTTCACACCTGTAATCCCAGCACTTTGGGAGGCCGAGGCAGGCAGATCACATGAGGTCAGGAGTTCAAGAACAGTCTGGCCAATATGGTGAAATCCTGTCTCTAAAAAATAAAATAAAATAATATCCCCACTGCTTCTGAAAATACCCAGGCTATTTTCTATAAGGATAATTATACTTTTTAAAGTGTTTAACTTTTTAAAAGCCTACATTATTTTAAATGTTTGTTGAATATAATAAACTGTGCCTTTCCCTGCCCCCTGCAGCAATTAATGGAAGATTATTTGGAAACAACCAAGGTCTGACGTTTCATGTAGGGGATGTAGTGAACTGGTATCTGATTGGCATGGGGGATGAGGTTGACCTGCACACAGTTCACTTTCATGGCCACAGCTTTGAATACAAGGTAAGAGCCTTCGATGGGTCCATCTAATTACCGCGAAGGCTTGTAAACCAGTTATGGGGTAGCATGGCAAGAAAACAGGGCTAGAAAGAAAATGAATAAGTCAGAAATTTAATCCACATCATCTATAATATATCAGGTACATGCAAATAATTATAATAACCAAAGAATAAAATGGATTTCTCACTCTGATCTATTGTTAGTTAATAGGTAAAGAAGGCTTTTATAGTCATTTCTAGTTTTGTACTTTCTATCCCAACTTAAAAAAATTCTTTTTCATGCCCCCAGTAACATAAAGAAAAACACTCTGAATGCTCGTATGCATTTCGCCACATTAGCTTTCTCTTCTGTTTTTTTCTGAACTCAATTCAAAATTGTAAGCCTTATGACTCTTTGCCCCTAAATACTGAATCATCCCTAAGAATTAGGACAGTCCTCACCCCAACCACAATAAAATGATCACACCTCCAATTTCATAACATTTCATTTTTGAAGGGTCCAGGCCAGTTGTTTTGTAGAATGTTCCATATTCTGCATTGGTCTGATAGTTTCCTCATGATTGGATACATGTTTAACGAATTTAGCAAGAACATGACATGGGTGATTTTGTATACTCCCCACACATCACATCAAGTGGTACATGATGGCTATAGGTCCTCATATTGCCGAGGCTAAGTTTGATAACTTGATTAAGGTGATTCTGAGAATATAGGAATAAAAACCATATCAAAGTGATACTCACAGCCAGTTACACAGAAGACTTTTTGACCTCTGGTCACAAATAAGTGTGTGGAGATTTTCCTCCACCAGCAACCCATCAGTTCTGCATTGGACACCAGCTAGACGTCCTCCAATTCAATTTTGATACTATCTACCTGGATACATGTCAGATCCCACAGGTTGATACTATCTACAGGATACATGTCAGATCCCAATTCTACAAGGCTGCCCCCCACTTCCAATGCCAATCACAAACTCCAGATTGTTTTTATATGCTTCTGAGCAGCAGACTATACATTGAGATTCCTACGACCCCCTCCTCGAATTCAATTAATTCCCTAGAGTGACTTACAGAATGAAGAGAAACACTTGCTTACGGTTACTGGTTTATCAAAAAAGATATTATAAATTGTATGAATGAATATCAGATGAAGAGATGCTAGAGTAAGGTATGGGAGAAGGAGCACATGGAGCTTGCATGCTTCCTCCAAGTGAGCTACCTTCCAGGAACCATGTGTTTGGCTATCTGGAGCCTCTCTGAATCCTGTCCTTTTGGATTTTTATGGAGGCTTCATTGCATAGGCATGAACTTTTGACCTTTCTTCCCTCCCACAAGCTAAGGGGTAGCACTGACATTCCCAATCCTCTAATCCTGCCTTGGTCTTTCTGGTGATCAATCCTCATCATAAACCAAAAGTAAAATTCTAAATGCCCCCGCAAACACTTGAAAAATTGAATAAAATTCTAAGCCCCCTCTAGACCAAGCACATTCCTAAGCTAACCTGAAAAACTAATTCAGGCCATGATGGGAAATGACGGTTGGATATGCCTCATTATGCTCTCCTCCCTTTGGAATTCAGGCACAGCTGACCAGCATTAACATTAAAATGGAGACCTTAAGACTGATAGAACAGACTCTTTGTAGTAATAAGATACCAACATGACAGATAGCAGTCTCTAAAGGAAATCAAAGTATTTTACCCCAAAATATATTTCTCTGACATTTTTTGAAATGGCCCTGCAAAACTATCTCTTACGGGGAAAATCTACATTCTGTAGAGAATCCTCTTCCCTTTCCAGGTCTTTTTCCTGATCCAGGAGAGAATGAACTAAAGGTCTGGCACTTTTAAAATCTGATAAGAAACATTTATAATCTATTCTCTCTGAAGCCTGATACCTGGAGGCTTCACCTGCATTATACAAACCTTGGTCTCCAAAACCCCTTATCTTAACCCAGACATTCCCTTCTGTTGATTCTAGGTCTTTAGATAAACTCTTTAATCAACTGCCAATCCGGAAATCTTTGAATCTACCTATGACCTGGAACCCTCACCTCCTCCAGTTGTCCCATCTTTCCAGACCAAACCAATGTACATGTTACATATACTGATTGATGTCCTATTTCTCCCTAAAACATATAAAACCAAGCTGTAGCCCAACCACCTTAGGAACAAGTTTTCAGGACTTCTTGAGGCTGTGTCATGGGCATATCCTTAAGCTTGGAAAAATAAACTTCTAAATTGACTGAGACCTGTCTCTGATTCCCAGATATTCTGGTACATTGTCTGTTTGTTCTCATTAGTTTCAAATAATTTCTTGATTTCTGCCTTAATTTCACTATTTACCTAGGAGTCATTCAGGATTGTTCAAATTGTTCATGGAAATTGAACAATTTCGATGTAGTTGTGTGATTTTGAGTGAATTTCTTAAAATTGACTTCTAATTTGATTGTGCTGTGGTCTGAGAGACTGTTGTGGTTTTAATTATTTTGCATTGGCTTAGGAGTGTTTTACTTCCAATTATGTGATCAATTTTAGAGTAAGTACCATGTGGTGATAAGAGCGTATATTCTTTTGTTTTGGGGTGAAGAGTTCTGTAGATATCTAGCAGGTCCACTTGATCCAGAGCTGAATTTAGGTCCTGAATATCTTTGTTAAGTTTCTGTCTTGATGGTCTAATATTGTCAGGGGGTGTTAAAGTCTCCCACTATTGTTGTGTGGAAGTCTAAGTCTCTTTGTATGTCTCCGAGAACTTGCATGATGAATCTGAATCTGAGTGCTCTGTATTGGGTGCATATATATTTAGGATAGTTAGTGCTTCTTGTTGAATCGAACCATTTACCGTTATATAATGACCTTCTTTGCCTTTTTTGATCTTTGTTGGTTTAAAATCTGTTTTGTCAGAAACTAGGATTGCTTTTTTCTGTTTTCCATTTGCTTGGTAAATTTTCCTCCATCTCTTTATCTCTAGCCTATGGGTGTCACTGCATGTGAGGTGGATCTCTTGAAGACAGTATGCTATTCTGTGTCTTTTAATTGGGGCATTTAGCTCATTTACATTTAAGGTTAGTATTATTATGTGTGAATTTGATTCTGTCATGATGCTAGCTGGTTATTTTGCAGACTTGTTATTGTGGTTGCTTCATATCTCTGTACTTCACTGTGCTTTTGTAGTGGCTGTTAATATTTTTGCCTTTCCATATTTAGTGCTTCCTTCAGGAGCTCTTGCAAGGTAGGGTGGTGGTGACAAATTCCTTCTGCACTTGCTTGTCTGAAAAGAATCTTATTTTTCCTTCACTTATGAAGAAGCTTAGTTGGCCAGATATGAAATTCTGGGTTGGAAATTTTTTTCTTTAAATGTTGAATATTGGTCCCCAATCTCTTCTGGCTTGTAGGGTTTCCACTTAAAAGTCCATTATTAGTCTGATGGGTTTACCTTTGCAGGTAACCTGGCCTTTCTTTCTAGCTGCCCTTAACATTTTTTCTTTCATTTCAATATTGGAGAATCTGATGATTATGTGTCTTGGGGTTGATCTCATGGAGTATCTACTGGGGTTCTCTGCATTTCCAGAATTTGAATGTTGGCCTGTCTTTCTAGATTAGGGAAGTTCTTCTGGATGACATCCTGAAGTATGTTTTCCAACTTGGTTCCATTCTTCCCATCTTTTTCAGGTACCCCAATCAGTCATAGATTCAGTCTTTTTATATAATCCCATATTTTTCAACGGTTTTGTTCATTCCATTTTATTCTTTGGTCCCTCTTCTTGTCTGCCTGCTTATTTCAGAAAGATAGTCTTCAAGTTCTGAGATTCTTTCCTTCACTTGGTCTATTCACTACTGAAACTTGTGACTGCATTGTGAAGTTCTCATGTTTTTCAGCTCCATCAAATCGGTTATGTTCTTCTCTAAACTGGCTATTCTGATTCTCAGCTTCTGTATTTTTTTAATCATGATTCTTAGCTTCTTTGCATTGGATTACAACATGCTCCTTAAGCTCAGTGAAGTTTGTTATTATCTACCTTCTGAAGCCTACTCTGTCAATTCAGCCATCTCAGCCTCAGCCCAGTTCTGTGCCCTTTCTGGAGAGGTATTGTGCTCAACTGGAAGAGAAGAGGCATTCCGGCTTTTTGAATGTTCAGCATTTTCTCATTGATTTTTTCTTATCTTTGTGGGCTTATTTACCTTTGATCTTTGAGGTTGCTGTCCTTTGAATGGGGTTTTTATGGGGTCTCTTCCTGTTGTTTTCTCTTTATTTTTAACAGTCAAGCCACTTTTGCATAGGGCTGCTGTGGTTTGCTGGGGGTCTGCTTCAGACCCTAGTTGCCTTGGTTTTTCCTGTACCTGAAGGTATCAACAGTGAAGCTTGCAAAACAGCAAAGATGACAGCCTGATACTTCCTCTGGAAGCTCCATTCCAGAGGGGTACTAATCTGTTGCTGGCCTGAATTTTCCTGTAGGAGGTGTCTGGAGACCCCTGTTGGGAGGTCTTGCCCAGCCAGAAGGAACAGGATTGGGGACCTGCTTAAAGCAGCAATCTGGCTGCTTTTTGGTAGGACAGTGCTGCATTGGAGGGGACCCTTCCTTGTCTGGACCACCTGAACTCTTCAGAGCTGGCAAGGTGGAATGGCAGAGTCAACTAAACTGCAGAGATGGTAGCCTCCCCTTTCCCTGGGAGCTCTGTCTCCGGGAGAGATCAGTTTTGTCTGTATAACCCTGGCTAGAGTTGCTGAAAGCCTGCAGGGAGGCCCTGCCCAGTGAGGAAGAAAGAATCAGGGCGCCACTTAGAGAAGCAGTCTGGCCATGCATGATCTGGCACAGCAACTGTGTTGTTTCATAGGGGACCCCTCCTCATCCAGACTGCCTGCGTTTTCCAAAGCTGGCAGGCTGAAACAGCTGAGTTGACTGCATCACAGAAATGGTGGCTACCCTCCCCACAGGAATTTGGTCCTGTCCCAGGCAGTTTCCAGCCTGTTGCCATTGGCTTGGAATTCCAAGCCAGTGGGTCTTAACTTGTGAGGTACCATGGAAGTGGGGCTTGCAGAACAACGTTGTTTGGCTCCCTGGATTCAGTCCCCTTTCTTGGGGAAAGTATGGATGGATCTCCTGATGTGCCAGGGTTCCTGGAGCCACAGTATGTGAAACTCCTGGGTCTCTGTGTGTGACTCAATAGCTGCTCTGCTGAGAGTCCATACACCTCTATGTATGGGACCCAGGCCCTAGTGGCATGGGCTCATGAAGGGATCTCCTAATCCTTAGTTGCAAAGATTCATGGGAGAAATATGGTTTCCTGGGTAGGGTCACATAATCACTCACCACTTTCTTTAGCTGGGGTTGGGAGTTCCTTTGGCTGTATGCCACTCCATGTGAGCTGTCTCCCTACCCTGCTTTTCTTCATTCTCCGTGGGTCTGAGTGGTTTGCCTAGTCAGTCCAAGTGCAAGAACCTGGATATTTCAGTTGAAGTTGCTGAATTCACTTACTTCTTTGACTCCACAGCTGCTTCTAATGGGCCATCTTGGCCCCTCCCCCATACTTACTTACAATTGTTATCATGACCACTTTTTACTCATCATTTCTTGATAAGTATTTTAAATTTTATCCTTCCTCTTTTGCTTTCCGAGTTTGTATCATTTATTAACATCTACTTAAAGAGCTTTTTATTTCTTTTTCCTAATTCCTTATATAAACATTGATATATATTTTACAATCAATTATATTCTCTGTGTTTCACATCACACCTTACACATTTAATCCAATCACTAGGCATTAGTACAGTTTACCTTTTCCACATGGATAAAAGTTTCAGGTAAAGCTTTCCTGAATTCCAGATATATTATATTAATAACTTCTTTAATGCAGTGTCTATTGTAGAAATAAATTAGATAAGCATACATGACTTGGTTTGCACAAAGCCTTATTGGTGTGCTGCTTTCTTTCCCACCATTGAATGAACAGATTTATTCCTCTTAAATTTATTTTTTGGAATAAAAACTCTTTATTATGGAGAATTTTATATAAAAAAAACAGAATAATGAAACAAACCCCAATTACCCAAATCTAACCACCCCATGGCCCCACTACACTCTAATCTATGCTCCTCATTTTTTTAAAGTAAAAGCCTACATATTAGGATTATTCAGTTCATAACTGTTAAAATCTGGTCATCGTGTTTTACAATTTATTTGATATTGTCAAATATAATAGTTCAGTCCAGAAAATGCCTCTAACATGCCCAAAACCATGCTAAGTGCTGCATGTAGCTGAAAGGAAATCAGAATTGTTTTTCAGGGACAATTGCATGGGAACAATATGAAGCATTAACAAAATAAGGAACTTTCCTACCGGCAGAAAGTGATAGAAGTTGGATTTACACCTTGGCTGTCACTTTAGAACCTGAACTCTTTAGTGCTTCACAAAACCACCTCCCTTAAGTATAACCCTATTTATACCACAGAGCCTGGTATCACCAGCTCTCAACTTTAACCACTCATTCTAAACCCACTGCAGGATATGTCTAGTCTCTCACCTTGAGACAGAATGTTATCACTCCAGCATCTGTGCAGACACTGGGCTTTACTCCCTGAAACTCCTGGGGGCAGCGAAGCAGCCCTCTGTGGTTAATAACCTAGTCCTGGGACAAGCCAGCCAGTCACAGCTTGTTCCCTAAAGCTACAGTCTTCCTGGGTGCCAGGGCTCTAGGTATATTTTCCACATTTACTGGTACTTTGGAAATTGTCAATTTGTAGTTAAATTTTTTTCATACTGTTCTCTACATTTTTTGATGTCGAAAAAATGTACAGTATGTCATCGGTATTATTTTCACTTTAATTGCAAAATTAATTTTCCTAAATAACAATGGCTTGAGCTCCAATTCTGCATCCAGTAAGAGACAGTTCAGTCTTCCTCCTGCCTGCCTTCCGATATCTGCAGGGAGTCTTGAGAGCTTCAATGTCTTCCATTCACCCCATCTCTAATTTCCTGCTTCTGCTCGTCTCCCTTGCTCATCAACTCCTGTGGCTGGTATTTTTTCATATCTGTGTGAAATTCCAAAATTGGAGCACAAGCCATTTCCTCTGATACTCAAGCAACCACAAAATCAAGGCCATTGTGAGTCACAGACTTTTAGTGTAAGGGTAGGGCTAAATGAAGTTTTTTTTTCAGTACTACATAGTGAAAGCACTTACCATTTGACACTCGATGTCCCACCCCCAGTTACCCTTTTACCATGCATCACTGAAAGCCTCTAGCGTCTGCCCTTTATTCTCATCATCAGGACTTGTTTCTCCGTATTTTTCCTCTCTAGACTTTCTGACATCTCATTTTTTCTCAAATTATTCAGAATTCTTGAGCTGCAGTTTCCCAAACCCACCCCCGCCACCACCATCCTCCAAATACCTCTCATTTTATTTTGTAGAGCAATTCACCTTCCTCTTAATCTCTTCCAATCCACCTAGACTAGCCCTTAGGACTTCATCTCTAAAACTCTAAGCAGCCTACAGAGGTAGTTCCCTAAATATTGGGTTCTCTGCTTAGGAGATAAATTAGCTAAAAGGTACCTTCACCCCTCAGCCCCAATCTCCAGAAGGCAGACTTGGTTGCAGATGCCAGGGAAGCTCCTCCTCCTTTCTCCTTCCTCTCCCCTTCTCTTTCTGGTAACAATTGAGTTTTCCTGATTAGCTGCATCTCAAGAAACGACAATCCTTCACATCAACAACATTCCAAATTAAAAATATGTCAGTTAGAACCTCTGGGATTTGAGACTAGAAGTTCTCTGAAATCTAGAGCGCTCAGTGGTGTGACACTGGCAAGTTTCTAACACCAATATTAACTACAGGTACTGTAGAGTGAAATACTTTCTTTGCATTCTATCTGACACCGGAATGTTCTGGGCTTACTTCTCCTCCAGACCCTCAACTGTACTCAGAAGAGAACAAAATAACTTTCATGGCCTAATCCTATCCTATCCTTTCCTTTCCTTTCCCCCTTCCCTTCCTTTCCTCCTTCCCTTCCCTTCCTTTCCCTCCCCTTCCCTTTTCAGATGGAATCTTGCTCTGTCACCCAGGCTGGAATACTGCAGTACAGTGGCATGATCAGAGTTCACTGCATCCTTGAACTGGGCTCAAGCGATCCTTCCACCTCAGCCTCCCAAGTAGTTGGGACTACCGGCGCACACCATCATCTGGCGAATTTTTTTAATAAATTTTTTTAGAGATGAGGAGCTTGCTATGTTGCTCAGGCTAGTCTTGAACTCTTGAGCTCAAGTCATCCTCCTTCCCTAGCTTCCCAAGTAACTGGGATCACAGGCACAAGCCATCATGCCCAGTCTAGTACCTAATGCTTTCTAATTGCCACCTAATTAGGTATATTAGAATTGGGGAATTATAGCAAGTGGTAAGATGTGTAAATGACTGATACCTTTTATAAGCCATGTAATGGTGTTTTATCTCTTTGTTAAGGATTGGGGAGTGTATAGATCTGATGTTAACGACCTTCCTCCTGGGGTCTATCGAACTGTAAAAATGTATCCAAGAGATGTTGGAACCTGGTTATTTCATTGCCATGTTAGTGAGCACATTAGTGCTGGAATGGAAAGCACTTACACTGTACTTGAAAGAAAAGGTAAGATCCATTGTCCAAATTAATTAGAAGTGATATTTAAACAAATGCAGTATTTATATAAGGATATTTAATGCATTTTACATTACATAATGTGATGTGCCATTCATTCATTCAAAGATTACTATTTTGAGATGACCAAGATACTCTAGTTTTATTTCCTTTGCAAAACTTAGGTAACTTTTCATAATCTGATAAAAGATACTCTGGAGTTAAATGTAATTTCCAGATTCACAAAAGACATACATTTAAGGTGTAAACAGACAATTCATAGATCAAAAACAAATAAAAATATCCAAACTTGCCAATAATCAAATCACTTCAAAATCATATTTAAGCTACAATAAGATTCCTTTTTGAGTATATTTTGGTAAATATTTATCTCTTTTGAATGATAGCATCGACCACAGTGTGATGAGATAGGGCACATTGCATATACTTTGGGGGATGTGTAAACTGCTTCTGCAGATCTTGCAGGAATCTAAATTATCATCCTGATAGTTTGACTCAGTATTTCCACCTGGCATTTAATCTCAGAAAATTATCGACAATGCAGAAAAATATATATCACCACATTGTTTTATGCTAATGGAAAACTGAAAACAGATTATATACTGTAAATGTGTGTAAAAACTGCAATTTGTCATCTAAAATATCCAACTTTAAAAATCATGTCTTAAAATTTTTAATGAATAAATGCTTATAATACTATATTGGGTGGCAAAAAAAGCAGTCTACAAAATAGTATCTGAAATATATATGAAGATTGAATAGAAATTTACTGAAATGTAACTGATGGTTCTCTCTAGGCAGTGAAATTATTAGTGAGGTTTATTAAGAAAATATTTATTAAGAAAACAATACACCTCACTAATAACCTATTTCTTCCAAGGTTTTTGTAAAGTTTAAATTACTTTCAAAATTAGGAAAACTATTAAACATATATATCATACACTATTTAAAATATACTATGCAGCTCTTGAGTTATGTGAATATTTTCTCTGTGGGGCTCCTTGCAGGGCTGATGGAACAGAGCCTCTGAAACAGAGAAAGGAGAGTCTGCATGAACAGTTTCTCAGAATCTTCTCTCAATATCAGTACTACATTTGTAGACAAAATCAAAAGTTGATTAGCCACCAATATAATTGTCACCTATAGCATCCTATTAATATCAATAATATCATTGTTGATACAATTCTAATAATCATTACTCTTATTCCTATCAGTGTTCACACACATTCTTAGTAAAAGAGACTTTGGTGTGCTGTCCATGAAATAAATTCCCCATTGCTAACATTCATTCTTTGGGAGACTAGATTTTGCTTTTCAAAAAAAATAAAGTCAAACTTGATTGGGTCTACAGGTCATCTGTTCCCACAGAAGGGTGACATTGATATTGCTATTGATGTAATAAGTAAACTTCTTGTGGCAAAAATAATGGTAATCATTTTTAAGGGTGCTTCTAAGACTAATATAAATTTTGTATTTATTCCTTAAATGTATATAAACATTTTAGTTTAATATTCTTTTTTTTTTTTTTGAGGTGGAGTTTTGCTCTCGTTACCCAGGCTGGAGTGCAATGGCGTGATCTCGGCTCACCGCAACCTCCGCCTCCTGGGTTCAGGCAATTCTCCTGCCTCAGCCTCCTGAGTAGCTGGGATTACAGGCACGCGCCACCGTCCCCAGATAATTTTTTGTATTTTTAGCAGAGACGGGGTTTCACCATGTTGACCAGGATGGTCTTGATCTCTTGACCTCGTGATCCACCCGCCTGGGCCTCCCAAAGTGCTGGGATTACAGGCGTGAGCCACCATGCCCGGCCCTAGTTTAATATCCTAACTTAGAGCTTCATGCTATTATACAATATTGTCAACTTTTGAAACTTTCTTTTCTACAGCATAAATACTTGATATAATATGAATATTGACAAGCTTACAAGCCAAGGTAAAGCTGCCAAACAAGGAAAACTCCAGGAACCAAGGAGTCTGGGAGGAACCAGCTAAAGACTTTCATGACAATGTACTAGGGAAAACTAGTTTGAAATAAAAGTTTTCTTAGTAAGTTTTGTGTGAGAGCTGCTTCTTATTTTCATAAATTGACCCTGAAGTGGTGTCTGTATTGTGCCTGTAACTAATGTAATAATGCCTTTAACAAATGCAAGGGGTTAGGTAGGAGAGACAGAGAGAGCAAGAGCCAAGTCTTGCTCAGTTATAAAAAGCACCAAATGTATGCAGTCCAAGACTTTGCCCTAGACTGCAATATTTGTAAACCTTCAAAAAGTGAAATTCTCATAGCATGGGTAAGCATTTACATCTATCTTAAAATGTAAATCTATATATTATATTGTGCCTTAGAATTGGAAAATGAAAGATTACAGAATACATAATTTTCAGTTTTCCAGAACCAAAAAAAAGAGCGGGGGGAACTCATCTCTAAGCTGGTACCTGACAATACTAACAAGTTAGGATGTGTTGTTCTATAAGCAACAGAAAACCTAGCTAAGAGAGAATTACCAGTGCTATTTGTCCTATATAACAAAAACCGTTTGGAGATAGCTGGCTGCTAAGATTGGTTTAGCTATATGTTTTTTAAGACAGAGTCTCGCTCTGCTGCCCAGGCTGGAGTGCACTGTCACAATCTTGCCTCACTGTAATCTCCACCTCTCAGGTTCAAGCAGTTCTCCTGCCTAAGCCTCCCCAGTAGCTGGGACTACAGGCATGCACCACCACACCCGGCTAATTTTTGTATTTTTAGTAGAGACAGGGTTTTACGATATTGGCCAGGAGTTTAAGACCAGCCTGGCCAACATGGTGAAACCTGTCTCTACTAAAAATACAAAAATTAGCCGGGTGTGGTGGCACACACCTGTAGTCCCAGCTACTCAGGAGGCTGAGTCAGGAGAATCACTTGAACCCAGGAGGCAGAGGTTGCAGTGAGCTGAGATCGCACCACTGCACTCTAGCCTGGTGATAGAGCAAGACTCCATCTCAAAAATAAAATAAATAAATAAAAGTAATATAGTAATAATGCTGTTATAACATCAGACAAAATTAGCAATAATACCTCATTATTTGATACTAAAACTATTAAGAACTTATAAAATATGTGTGCAACTAGCTCCCTCCCTAGAAACATCCAAGTCTGAAACTTTTAAAGGTCCTGATAAAACTAGAACATTCTTTAAGAAATTGCAAAAGATATTGCCCAAATTTCACCAAGAAAAATGCTTAATAAACTAATTCATTTATTCATTTAAAAACACAGTTCCAAACTTTGACTTAACAGTTGGGTGAAGTATGATTTAGTAAATAGAGTTGAATGGAAGAATAGTAATCTATATGAATTCTTAACTGGAGAGAATCAAAGACTAAGAATGTGGACACATTTCCTGGAATGTGTCACCTGCACAGCTGTTGGAAGGTGCTCTTATTCTAATAATAAGTACCCAGTTTAGACAGAAATTATTTTAATGTTTTGAAATGTCAAAGAAAAAAGAAAAGAAATACCCTTTAAGAGTATCTACCCTTTTGCAAACGAGATCATGTCCTTTGCAGAGACATGCATGGAGCTGGAAGCCATTATCCTCAGCAAACTAATGCAGGAACAGAAAACCAAACACTGCATGTTCTCATTTATGAGTGGGAGCTGAACAATGAGAATACATGGGCACAGGGAAGAGAACGACACACACTGGGGCTGGGGTAGGGGTGGGGTAGGGAGAAGGAAGAGCATTGGGAAAAAACAGCTAATGCACGCTGGACTTAATACCTGGATGATGGGTTGATAGGTACAACAAACCACCACATTACATGTTTATCTATGTAACAAACCTGCACATCCTGCGCATGTGCCTGGAACTTAAAATAAAAATAAAAATTAATTGTAAAAAAAGAATATCTACCCTTCTGCTCAAATTCTATACCTACAAAGAAAACTATGTTCTGTAATACGATTTTCTGAGTAGATCTATAAACAAAGAGGGAATGTCCCTAAATTGAAAAAAGACCAATAATATAAATTATGCCCATTACCTTTTAATTTTACATGAATTATTTAACTTTATGAATGAATATTGATTTATTCTCCAAGTTATTTACAATCAATCAGCCCCTTTAAACCCAGTCACCTGTAAGTAAACTGACAAAACCAAGGTTTGGAATTTACCAAGTGACAACCAGAACGCAGGTAGATGCCTTCGAGTGCAGAGAGACTGGGAAGCCCGACCTGGAGCTACTTCAGCGCTTTCCCACATGGCCTTCTATGGCATGGTGTTTCTCCTGCTTCTGGGGGCCATCAGTAGCAGTAAGTGTTCTCTCAATGGCATTGGCCCCTCACAATTGTCACTCAGTCACCTGTTGTAAATTAAGACCCAGACACAAATCAGAGTGTTAAGAGCTATGCACTGCATACAACCCTCACCTGGTATCAAAGCAAGAGAAAATGGGCCAGGGGTGTTATCAGAGGAGAACGTTTCCAAAGAGTCATGCATCAAAGTTCTATGTAGTCAAAGTAGTTAATTAAGTTATTCCTTTAAAAAGAGATGTTCTTTAATCTTTTTAAAAATATGTGATTATATTACTGTAGTTCTATTTCATTTTTGATAAATCACATGCTTTGATTTCTATAACAGTCAAGGTAATGAGAGAACAAGAATGAAGAATTAATCAAAATTTTTATGCCATTTTTTAAAAGCCTCTTTCCCATAGGACGATTGCATGTTAAGGCTTTCGGTATGTTAAAGTCTGGACTTTCTCTCTTCCCTTGGCTGGAACCACTTTACATCCCAGGAGCTGATGAGTAGGGCCATGACCCATTAATGAGCAGCCAAAGGGAGATGATGGCATGACTGAAGACCTATCTGAGAGATCATTTCCTAACCAGTCATGACCTGACTGATAGGGGAGAATAGGATCAGCACTGCTCACACTGTGCTAGGGCAAGTCAGTGTACTCATTAGCAAAGTCTGTACGTGCCCTCACTCACCTCTAAAATTCCAGAGTTACACAATTTCCTGCGAAAAAGAAAGCAGTGTGGTTGTCTGTCCAATTGGTCATAGTCAGAATGACCTGCTATTTTATACTTAGAGTCTACTGCTGTCACAAACTGAAGGACAGTTCTTGATGGTTTCCTGATAATTCTGTTGGCACGGAGTAGAGATTAGGAGCCAGTTCTCATGGGTCAACAAAAAATGAGACTAGAAGATACAGACAGGAATAGTTCCAGTAAAGAGAGATTGCATCCTGCTAGACAGAAATAAACAGAAGGGATATTCTGTAAAGGAGGCTACTTCCTTGATGTTAGCCATCCTCAGTCCCAGAATCGTGATTGCTAAATGCAGATAAGATTCGCCCAGTCCAGAAATCCTTAAGACAAAAACAACAACAAAAAGTGGAAAATGATGAAAACTTCTGCTAAGTAACCATACTCAGGTTACTAAGCTGTTAACTTAGACACACACTAGTTGTTTATAACAAAGAGATACCCTGGGATTCTGAGGTAAAAACCTTTTGACAAGCAAAACTGAGAAGACAGCCTGTCTGGCAGTTTAGTTTTCTCTCTTTCCTGAAATGCTCTAAGTTTCCTAGGCTTCTTCTGGTGCTCCTCTGCTCCTTCTTGTCTTACCCCAGTCTGTGCTGTTGTGGTGCATTTCTTGAGTGCAGAAAACTCTCAATTGCAACATTACCCAAAGTTCGTTTTTAAGTACTGTCTCTGGAATCACTGTAATGAGGTTTGCAGTGCAAAATGTCTCGGCTGATGGCTGAGTTTATTAGCTCCCAGTGGCTTTTCCCTCTTACTTAAATAGTCCTGAGGCTCAGAGAATTCTCCCCACTTCTTGCTGCATGCCACATGCCTTTTGATGAGAAGAGTAACTACCACAAAACAGAACAGAAATATGGACTGCATGACCTTTCTTGCATTACACCATAAAATGTTCATAAGGGCACTGGTCACAGTGTTACTGTTTAACCATTTCATTTCACCACCAATATGAGGGGTGTGCTATGCATACATTCTGGAACCTTCAGCAACTATTTGAACAGGTTTGTTTGTTGGGTGGTTGGTTGGTACAGTTGCTGAAACCAGTGATTCTGGGCAAGGTTACTGTGCTCTGATCACTATCCTTCCATCCACAAGACTGAAGCTGAGTTTGAGCACTGAGTAAAAATAAAAAGCAAATGGCTGGGACAGTTGCAGGTTCACACCGTGGCTTCATGCCAATTAGAAAAAAACTATCCCCCTTCCCTATGCCCTGGGGAGAATAAATGGCTGAAAGATGCCCCCCCCCCCCCCGTCTGTGTGGACCATTAGGGGAAAAGCAGTTTCTTGCAAGGCACAGGGTTTGGCCAGTGGCATCTCGGCAAGATTTTAGTCCCTTGCCGGTCCTCTCGTAGACATGAGGGCACAATTGTTCAAGGCAGTCCTAGAAGAAGGCCTTGGAGCATCCTGGGCACCATGATTCAGTTTTCTGTATCAGGTCATTTAGTTAAGATTATTACCAGCTGGTAAGAGAAGCTCCTCCACTGTCTGCCTTAACATGGATCATTTCAATTAACCTGAGATTTTTGGATGAGGAAACTGAGGCTGAGCTGAAGCATCTTACTTGAGGTCATGTGGTAGCATCAGAGTTTGATCTTCACCCTGCTGTTTTCTCTGCTACTCATTATTCTCCTCTGATTTATTTTTCTCCATGGCACTTACCACTAATATTGTGTATTTCACTTTCCGTTTTTATACTGTCGGTTTCCCCCAAGTAGAATGTAAGTTCCATGATGGTAGGTGTTTTATTTATTGCTGTATTCCCAGTGACTAGAACAGAACTTGGCACACAATGAGGCTCGTTTGATAATATTTTCTAAATGAATGAATTGTTCAAATAGCAGGAAGCATTCTATACCAGCCTATTTCAACAAGTGGCTTTTTAGCAAATACACAATATTTGGAGATATTTGAGAGAAAAAAATTGTGCTAACACAAAGTGTCAACTGTTACCAGGATTTTCTTCAGCTAAAAAAAAAAGCCAC